GGGGCAGGCGGTACCAGTTAGGTGAGGAGACGCCTTCAACCACCAGTGGTGGACGAAAAGCGATTTGCCTCGGGTTACATTAGGAGGGTCGCTTCGCCTTCCCTGGCCTCGCCAGGCAGGGCAGGCGCCCCCTTTTCCGCTAGGCTAGTACATCCCTACCGCTGAAGTCTGCCTACCGTCATTTGAAGAATGCTACCGGGTGCGCTGGCTCAGCAGCTTAAAGTGGCCGGCCCATTCAGCCTACCTGTCTGCATTGCAGGGACAGCTGGTGGCCCACAGCTGGCGGTGCCGATTCATCGGAGTCGGTGCTCGCGCGGCAACTAACGGATGTACACTCACATCTGGCTCGGGACAGCATTAGGTGCTGTGCCAGCCAGATGATGGGTGCAGTCATGGGCTTGCGCCGCCTGTGGCTGTCTGTGGCACGGTATTCGCCGGCCACACAGCAAGCTCTACTTTCATTGCCCTATACCATGGGATCTTCCCTGTTCCCTGGGGCATTGCAGGTGGTTAGGGAGGCCGCGGAGGCTGTCTCTACTTTTAAGGACTCAAAGCCTTTGTTGGAGCAGCCCTCCGCTCCTCGCCATCGGCCCTCCCCGCTTGCATCCGCTTACCCTTCGGCTCCGGCGAAGGATGTTGTTAAGTGGGCTGCCCCTTTGCAGTCCAAGCGGAGCAGGCGATCGAGAGGCAAGGGCAGGCCTGCGCCAGCGCAGCAGTCTTTTCGGGGCAAGGGGAAGCCAGCCCCGGCTTCCCACTGATTCATGCCCCAGAGCCCTTGTTGCCCCCCACTCACGCAAGCGGAGACTTGCCGACGGTGGGGGTGCACTGCCTCTTGCCACACGTCCCTGTCGGGCGTCGGCTGTCCCTATTCCTCCGGGAGTGGGAGGCAGCCACCTCAAATCCCTGGGTCCTGTCCACGCCAGGGATGGCCATTTGCCACAGTGGAGGCGCTGATCCTCCGTCCCTTCTCCGGGTTCGCACACGCCAGTGCCGACCTCCCGCGATAAGGCGGAAGTCCTCCTCGCGTCGAGGTTCAGTCTTTACTGACCAAGGCAGCCATCGAGGTGGTTCCTGTGAGTCAGCGAGAAGAGGGGTTTTATTCCACCTACTTCCTCGTGACTAAGAAGGACGGAGGGTTCAGACCCATTCTGAATCTCAGAGGGCTGAACAAATTACTGGAGGTGCCGCTCTTCAGGATGGAGACACTCAGGTCAGTGATCTCCTCCGCCGAGACAGGGGATTGGCTTACGCCAATCGATCTCAAAGACGATACCTCCATGTTCCAATGCACCCCGAATTCAAGAAGTACCTCCGCTTCTCCTTCGACGGACGCGCTACCAGTTTCAAGCTCCCCTTCGCATCTCTACGGCCAAGGGTGTTCACCAAACTTATGCTAATCCCAGCTCAGTTAGCCAGGTCTCAGGGCAGGTGTTGTCACCCGCATCTGGACGATTGGCTTCTACGGGCCTTAGGGCCTCAGTTAAGCAGAGCCTCCACACTGTGCGCAAGGGATACTCTGGTGTCACTGGGCTGGATTATCAATCTCAAGAAATCAGAACTCGCTCCGACGCAGGATCTGATATTCTTGGGAGCCAGATTCAACACGGCGCTTAGGGATTGTTTCCCTGCTCCGACCGCATCGCCAAAGTCCGAGGGACTGTGTTACAGTTCCTCCAGTCCCCGCTGCCGGCCCGAACATGGCTTCGGGTTGCTCGGCAACATGGCGCTGCACAGTGGACGGGGTTTACGCGCGCTGGCCTGAGGATGCTGCACCACCAGCAAGCATTAGCTCAGCTGTGGTCCCACCGCAGGGCTACGTAGATTATGCTCATAACGCCAGAGTGGTTAATCCTCACTTGGCGATGGTGGACGGAAGTCGGAATTTGTCCAGGGGAATCCCCTCGACACCCCGGCACCTTCCCTCCTCAGTTCAGACGGACGCTTCTCCCTACAGGTTGGGGGTCCTGGCGAGCACTCAGCCTCCGCCTCTGGTCGGAGCGGGGAGGTCAGCCTACACATCAATGTGTTAGAACTGAGAGCAGTCCGCAAGGTGTTCGAAAAGCTTCCGGTGTTGGTGCAGGGCCGTGGTTCGTCTAGAAATGGACAATCAAACGCCATGACTTACATTCTCAAGCAAGGCGGCACAGTGTCTCCGCCGCCCTTCAGGAGGCGGGCAGTTTCTACTGTGGTGCGATCAGTTCAACATTCGGTTTTGCCTGTTTATCTCCCCGGGGTAGACAACGTCCGTGCAGACGCTACTCACGGCGATACTAGCCCCCCACACGAAAGTGGATGCTCGACCGGAGATATTCGGGATTATCTCCCAGTTGTTCGTCGTCGCTCCAGGTGGATCTGTTTGCGCCTGGGGTGACGAACCAGATTCCTGTGTTTTGCTCCCCGGATTCGATCCGGGTGCGTAGCCAACGACGCTTTCAGCTAGATTGACGGATAGGGTACTGTGGGCGCCTCGACATACCACTGATTTCCAGGGTCCTGTCGCGAGCTGACCGCGACAACCAGCTCGGCTACTTGTGCTTCTGGCACCCTTTGGTCGGCACAAAAGCTGGTTTCCGTAATTTCAGGTTTCTGGCTCAGCCTCCTGTTCTATTACCTTTTCGACCGACCTCCTATCCCAGAACGGAGCTTCCCACCCAATCCCAGGATTCAGTGGGTGGCTTTGGCCGCTTATCAGGGATCGCTTCCATGCGAAGCGGAATTCCTGCACCAGTTGCAGACACAATTCTGGCTTCATGGAGGGATTCGGCAAACGCTCAATATGAGGATAGATGGGCCTGTTATTCGCTGGTGTGTCAACAGGGGATTCTTGATCCCTTTCTACAGATTTAGTCTGTGTGTTAGAATTCTCCAGTTCGCTGGAAGCCGGTCTAGCGGCTTCAACTGTTCGAGGATATTCTACAGCTATTTCTGCGCTTCACATTCCTGTTGACGGTGCTCTTTGGGGCAGCACCCTCTGGTACAGCGCGGGCAAGCAGGCGTGGACAGAATCCGTCCGTTGTCCGGGCGGATTAGTCCCCGTGGGACTTGTCAATCGCTCTTGATTGGCTGTCCGGGTCCACTGTTTCACAATCTGTCGGTTCTTTCACTCCAGCTGTTGACGGAAGACGGCGCTTGTGGCGGTGACTTCAGGCAGGCGGGTTGGCGATATTCACGCAATGTCGGGCCGATCCCGCTTTCTACTGTTTTTCACAAAGACAGAGTTAGCATACGGCTGCCTGATACTTACCGGCCCTAAGAAGGATAGTCCCTTCCATGTGACGGCGCCTATTGAGCTCCCAGCTTTCACTCAGCCTTCCCCTGTCCGGGTACCTCTCTACGACGCGGTTTCACGCCTTAGATGTCCGTGAAGACACTTAAGGCTTATATCAAACTTAACAAGGGTACCCGTAAGGGTAACCAATTGTTTTGTTGTTATGGCGGGTTCAGGTTGGTCTTCCCGCCACCAAGCAAACCATTTCTAGGTGGCTTGTCTCTGCCATACACATGAGCTATACTCAAACAGGGCGATCCCGCCTGTAGGGTTGAAGGCTCATTCGGTTAGGGCAGTGGTTACATCGACAGCTTACGCTGCAGCCCTGCCCATTGAGGAGATCTGCTCCGGCTGCTATTTGGAGCCGGCCCGAGTACGCTCATCCGGCTATTACCAACTTGACAGACTCTCCAGTGAGCGCGCAAGTCGGTTCGGGTCAGTCAGTTCTTCCAGTGGGTATGGTTCCACCTCTCTAGCCGCATTGAGCTTCGAGGTTTTATTGTGTGAACCAAGCATTCGCCAATTTTTAACACTGGTGTTGGGTTTTACAAATCTTGTTACATTTCCCTTGGTGATGGGTTTTATGTGGTGATGGTTTTTATTCCCATGTCTCTTGCTTTCTAACCGGTAGCTTTATAGACTAAACTGCCCTTGGAAACTTTGCTGTTCACGGCATTTCGCTTCTGGGTTTATTGCGGACCCTTATCTTCACTTCCGGTAGATTACGGGAAGGAGGGAGGGTGTGTCTCGCTCAGCTGCATTAGCTAGGTTTCGCTGGACAAAATTTGCATACGCTACTCCCTGACCCTGGCTCATGCCCCCCGCCTGATTGGCTTTGGTGGACACGCGGACCGGGTAAGTGTGCCTTTTCTGCTATAATTAGCTTGGGAAATTCCACTTTTGTCGGGGTGTTTAAGCAGACAGAATGCCGCCCTGAGATCCGCCTTTAGGAGTCTGTCTTATGCTTATAAGTACCCCAAGGAGGAATATATAAAAAAGAATCGAACTAACCTGTAGAGGTTTAAGATTCTTGAATATATTCCTCCTTGGGTACTCTCACCTCCCTCAAGATTCTGTCTGACTTCGCTCAGCATGGAAAGTGAGGTACTGAGGTTACGGGTCTGGAGTTACCTGCTCTTGGCTGTAGGGGCCAGAGGGCCCTGTAAGGGTGGTCTCACAAGACAAAACGTAGTTTTGTTTTGTAAATATTTTATTCAAAATATTGTTACAACTGTCGTAGGGATTTTAAATGGACATTTAAATGCTTATAAGTACCCCAAGGAGGAATATATTCAAAGAATCTTAAACCTCTACAGGTTAGTTCGATGTTTAATCATAATCTATTGACAGGGCAGAGTTGTGTCCTTGGACCAGAAATCTGTGATTGTTGGTTTGGTTTGATGTTTAACGCCACACTCAGCAATATTCCAGCTATATGGCGGTGGTCTGTAAATAATCGAATCTGGACCAGACAGTCCAGTGATCAACAGCATGAGCATCGATCTACACAATTGGGATACGATGACGTGTCAGCCAAGTCAGCGAGCCCGATCCCGTTATTCGCCTCTTACGACAATCATGGGCTGCTGCAGACCAATTCTAACCTTGATCTTCACGGGTCCTTGGTTGGTGGGGTAGCCTAGTGGTTAAAGTGTTCGCTCAACATGCTGACCCGGGTTCGATTCCCCTCATGGGTACAATGTGTATGTGGCAGCAAGTTATACAGAAGTGGTAATTGTTTTCCACCTGCATCACTGGGGGCTTTCTTCCCATGTTACTCTGACACGACGTTATACTGTTCACAGCCGTGATAAAAACAACTTGCTCACTTTGGGGGATAAATCCCAGCCTTTATTGTTGGAATTCAGTGACCTGATTGTGTTACACTGTACAAACAGAAACTGTGATGGGCTTGGAAGATATTGTGGAGGGAGATGTGTTAAAAGTCTGTGTACCTTGCTTGTAGGTAATGTCCAGCATAAAGCCCCAGCTCACAGAAATCTTCAACACAGCCATGAAGAACGTGTTCCACTACCCTTCAACAGCGGATATGATGACAGCCACACAAATGGCCATAGTGGCCGAACTGACTCATGCTAGTCATAAGGTAGGTGTCTGAGTTCCACCAGGCAGGATCTCACATCCATTCCACAACATTATCATTTTTCCTGTCTCATACACATTGGTTATCTCTTCATTCACCCAAAATGTAGAAACATCCTGTGCTGCGTTACTCACTGAAAGACATCTCACCCGAACACACCAGAACTGCTGGATGTGACCAATCCATTAGTCAAGCCACTCTTGCCATTTTACCCATTGGTTTGAAGGGGCTGTGGGGTAGCCTAGTGGTTAAAGCGCTTGCTCACACAGCTTCGAAGACCCGGTTCGATTCCCCACATGGGTACAATGGGTGAAGCTCCATTTCATGGCCTCACGCTGGTGATATTGCTGGAATATTGCTAAAAGCCATGAAAACCAAACTCTCTCACTCACTCATTGGTTTGAATTTTGTAAACATTTACTGCTCCCATTGCTGTTGTCATAAGTCTTCTTGGAAGAGGCTTCTGATGGCTGCTGAACTTGTGGAACTGAGCAATATTAACTTTGTACTTTTGGGGCCTAACTAGAAACATTTATTCATTGATGAGTAATCAAGTTTCCTGGTTTAACCATAATATTCAATGAGGGGCTAAAGAAAGAAGATATTTCAAATTTTTAAAGTTTCAAATAACCTAAAGAAGAATCCTGTGAGTGTTTACTGTGCAAAATGTTTTATGTGATATTGTGAACCTGATATATTTTCAAGGAACACTTTTTGTGGATAGATAACTTCTTTATTCCAATAGATGCAATGTTTCGATGTAGATCCTAACATCGTTATCAAGTAAATGAAAAATGGCAGGAAAAGACAAATGTTTCTTTGTCGGTGAGTTTGAACATAATAAATTTATTTGGTGTGTAGGAAAACTTGGATGAGCCAGTTGACATCTCCAGTCTCCCTGTTCTGTCAGCTCTGCTGATGAAGATCATGTTCTCTCCAAGACAGAGATTACAGTAAGTGTCTATGTCAGTCAGCTCTGCAGGTGAAGATCATGTTCTCTCCTAGACAGAGATTACAGTAAGTATCTATATCAGTCAGCTCTGCAGGTGAAGATCATGTTCTCTCCTAGACAGAGATTACAGTAAGTATCTATATCAGTCAGCTCTGCAGGTGAAGATCATGTTCTCTCCTAGACAGAGATTACAGTAAGTATCTATATCAGTCAGCTCTGTAGGTGAAGATCATGTTCTCTCCTAGACAGAGATTACAGTAAGTATCTGTATCAGTCAGCTCTGCTGGTGAAGATCATGTTCTCTCCTAGACAGAGATTACAGTAAATATCTATATCAGTCAGCTCTGTAGGTGAAGATCATGTTCTCTCCCAGATAGAGATTACAGTAAGTATCTATATCAGTCAGCTCTGTAGGTGAAGATCATGTTCTCTCCCAGATAGACATTACAGTAAGTATCTCAGTCAGCTCTGCAGGTGAAGATCATGTTCTCTCCTAGACAGAGATTACAGTAAGTATCTATATCAGTCAGCTCTGCTGGTGAAGATCATGTTCTCTCCTAGACAGAGATTAGTAAGTATCTATATCAGTCAGCTCTGCAGGTGAAGATCATGTTCTCTCCTAGACAGAGATTACAGTAAGTATCTGTGTCAGTCAGCTCTGCAGGTGAAGATCATGTTCTCTCCAAGACAGAGATCAGTAAGTATCTATATCAGTCAGCTCTGCAGGTGAAGATCATGTTCTCTCCAGAGACAGAGATTACAGTAAGTATCTATATCAGTCAGCTCTGCAGGTGAAGATCATGTTCTCTCCTAGACAGAGATTACAGTAAGTATCTGTATCAGTCAGCTCTGTAGGTGAAGATCATGTTCTCTCCTAGACAGAGATTACAGTAAGTATCTGTATCAGTCAGCTCTGTAGGTGAAGATCATGTTCTCTCCTAGACAGAGATTACAGTACAGTAAGTATCCATATCAGTCAGCAGAGATTACTAAGTATCTGTATGCTCTATAGGTGAAGATCATGTTCTCCTAGACAGAGATTACAGATAGTATCATTACTCTATAGGTGAAGATCATGTATCTCCTAGACAGAGATAACAGTAAGTATCTGTATCAGTCAGCTCTGCTTTGAAGAGTTCTCTCCCAGATAGAGATTACAGATCAGCTTTGCAGGTGAAGATCATGTTCTCTCCTCACAGAGATTGCAATGTTGTAGAGTGTTGAATCAAGGGTTGTCTGAATCTTGTTCAGCAGATAAATCACAACCATTAAACATTTGCTCTTTACATTTCAGATAGTGAAGATAGGATATTGTAGGGATACTATGAAGATTCATATAAGATAAACATTTAAGAGGAGTACTATGAAGATTCCGCTACTCAAAGCCTACCATGAAATAATAGAGATTCTGCACAAACTGGTTCTTGAACTGTTTCTGTTAAGTTTGACATGTTGTTACATCAATATATCTTGTAATGGATGATATATTTGATACACAGTTGATACAATATATGATATCATAAGACTCATAACATGATACAATATTTGATACATTACTGTATTGCTGTATCATTATGCCACTAAACTCTTCCTGTTCCAGCTTCTTCCTACAGGAGTTAAACACGTTCATCTCCTCCGGCAGCGTGCCAGATCTTCACCATGCACATGGATGTGCTCATCTTCTCTCCGCCATCAGGAAGGCGAAAGGTACAGATACCTCCCTCCCTCCACATTAGGATTCATGCTTATTTTTGGACCAGACAATCCAATCACTAAAACTATTCTGAAGTGCAAGCATCATCTGACAACATAAACCACATGGTTTTGTTGGGTTTTTTGTTTTTGAGATTTGAACAGTTCAATTTGATGATGTCCTTTTAATATCGAAGTTTCTTTTTGCAGGCAGGGTACCATTTGACCAACTAGAAAACTGTGAGGACTCTCTCCGCCAGTGTGTGAACACACTCTCTGTTAAAATGGAGGAAGATGATGAAGACTCAAAGTAATATGCTCTTTTAAATAAGCTCCTTTTATTTGACATGTTGTTGAGTGTAATGTATTTGCAGAAATTGAAGTGTATGTGACGTGCATGTTAGTGGATCTTAGTATTGGACTGTCTCTTTGACAAGGTAGGGTGTCTTTTGTACAGAGTACAGAAGTCAAAGGTTCAATCCAAGTTGTGTCATACCAAAAGAGGCAGTGGGGTAGTCCGGTGGTTAGAGTGTTTGCTCGTTACACCAAAACCCCAATTTCAATTCCCCATGTGGGCACAATGTATGGAGCCCATTTCTGGTGTCCCTGGGATATTGCTGAAATGAATTAATTGACAGTTATTTGCTTTCAAAAGGCCTAATATTTAGCAAAACCCGTCAAGTTATGATTTTACAGGAAACTAATACATAATAAAAAATACCTTGCAATGACAGAGGGCAAGGCAAAACCTTCCTATTGCCACAATGTAGTAAAGAGTTATTTCCCTTCTGATTGTTGGTTCCACATTTGACCAAACTTGTGTATTCAACTACTTGTGTGTTATATGTGTTTCTATAGTTTCTTAAAATTGTTGATTGGGCAGTCAAGAGCCCCTGAAAAGGCGTTAAATTTGATGGCTGATAATTTGTATGAACCCTGGTTTAAAGGCCACAAAGTACATCATTACAAACAATCACACATATATGTCAGCATATGTGTAACAGCAATATCTTCCAGTCATACTAGGCTGTCTCTTTTCTAGGCTTTGATGTAATTCTTTATAGAACTGTTCTACAAACAGGTTACATTTGTTTTCAGATATTTGCTGAAGCAGATCAGAGACAAAATGGAGGGTGGACAACAGAAGAGCTGAGGTCCCAGACAAGTCATATATTAGCATAGGCACTGTCTGAATCAGCTTTATGTGGAAGTTCATAACCATATTTATTGAACCACTCTGTTCAACACGATACTGAAGAAAGGATGTGGAAATGCATTGCCATATTTGCTTGACTTTGTACCTAAATGTTTTGGACACCGAGACCATTGCATATTCCTTGTCCATGGAAAAATTGTTGCCAGGATCATGTGAACACATCATGCAAAAACCAGGACAATGAAGGACTAATCAGGTCCAAGACTTTGAATGACCCAGTGACAGTTACTATGACCTGTTAATGAACAAATGGCTGAACTATGTAAACTTACCCTTGTGGGGTGTTGGGGTAGCCTAGTGGTGAAAACGTTAGCTCACCACGGCAACGACCCAGGTTCGATTCCAACATGGGTGCAATGTGTAAAGCCCATTTCTGGTGTCCCCTGCCATGATATTGCTAGAATATGGCTAAAAGCAGCATAAAATCATATTCACTTGCTTACTCACTGAAAACTTGTGTCATGTTCTGTGCCTTGGCATCTGCCCTGTTGATTCATGCATGAAGTTGCTGTTACAAACGGAGATGAGACCATGCACAAATATGACATGATATATAGTACCACTTTCTGTGAGGTCAAATAAAACTAATTTCTTGACTTGTTGAGTTTGTTGTATCTTTCCTAGTTTCAGCTAAAATATTCATCATTTGGAATCAATTTCCATTTCCAGACTGATAAGAGACTGGTAATGTATTATTGGAGGGAGGTGGGGACAGGTGGTTGGAATGAAGGTCCTCATATATTTTGTCAACCCACAATTTTATGTAACATGACTCCGTTGGATCTTCACGCGGAAGTCCCGGGTTCGAATCCCCACATGGGTACAATGTGTGAAGCCCATTTCTGGTGTCCCCTGCCGTGATGTTGCTGGAATATTGCTAAAAGCGGCGTAAAACCAAAACTCAGTCAGTCAGTCTAATAAATGAGACCCCATACTGTGCAAAGAAAGGGGCACAAGACACTGTTTGGGACGACCTCCATTGTTATTCAGGCCGACAAAGGCAGATGTCTGTGCAGCTGCTCACCGCCATCAGAACTGCTTCCAAAAACAAGCCAGAAATGAACCCAGACCACGTTCACGCATGATGGGAAGGTTTTGAATATCATAGGGAGACTTTGGCGCCTCAATTTCATAGGCCTCCACTACCCAGATAGCATTGATATGTTGGCCCATAGTTGGCCCATAATCAACGGTTTGGTTGGCCCATTGTTGTCAAACTGACGATGGGCCCACTTGGATATGCTCATCGGCTCCACAGTGGCCCATCATGTTGGCTAATTGTTGGGCCAACGAATGAAAATTCACACAAAACTATTGCCCATAGTTGGCCCAACTTAGTGATTTGGTTGGCCTTATGTTGGCACCACCGTGTTTCAACATTGAGCTCTTTCTTGACCTTTGTACTAAACCATGGCCCATACTTGGCCCAACGATGTGATTTAGTTGGCCTTATGTTGGCACAACTGTATTTCAACATTTAGCTCTTTCCTGGCCTCTGCAATCAGAAACATATATAAACAACACAACAAGTTAATCAAGTGAACTATTTAATTCTTTTTTTTTCATTGTTATTTGAACATTATTGTATTTCTTGAAAATATTCTTGTTTTAGGTCTTTTAGATGTCGCCGCTGACAGTTTTTTCGAACTGCTCCTGAAAAAAAAACAACCCTAAAATTTCATGATACTGTCGGATATCTATCGTAAAAGGACATAGTATTTGGCCTTATGTTTTATTTGAAACATACCATGTACAACTTAATGATTGAAAACGTCAGATGTAGATTCTTACACTGTTACCAAGCTAAAACCAAATGATGAGAAGGATATATGCGTAGTATGTTTTGACAATCAGCAAATTGACATTAACAACAACATGTAATTGAATAACAACTGGTACATTAGTGGGAGAGGCCAGATGGGGACTAAGAACAACAAATGGAATGGTGATGAAGCCAATAAACAGGGGGATTCAGTTGTAACAACAAGCTGATAGGGTGCTTTGATAGAGTCTATAGTTTGATTAGTTCTTCATTGGTCTGTCGTTTTCATGTGACTGCAAAATTTGGTTTTGTTGCAATTATTTGATTTTGTGTTAGTGAGCAATTCATCGGTCTCAAGTGAAATCAAACAGACTATGAGTTGGTGGGTTACTGGTTGAGGCTCGTGAAGACATGTTGTAGGTGGTTCCGCTCATGTTCTAGGTCATGGCTGGTGGAGCAATGTTCTTAGCGTGCTTGATCAGGGTTGAGATGACGCCTAACTGAGTTTTAGGGGGCTGGTTTGACAAATTTGAAATCTTATCCACCAAGAATCAGGACTGCACAAAAAGAAAACTTTTGGAAGCCATCAAAATCAGCCGCCACAAACCTTTGATCAATAGAGACCAAGGATACTACATACCATTGGGATATGAAGAACTAATCAAACTATAGACTCTATCAAACACCCTATCAGGTTGTTACAACCTAACACCCACCCCCTCCCTTGTTAATTGGTTTCATCACTAGATCAATTTGTTGTTCTTAGTCCCAAACTGGCCGCTCCCAATTATGTTTATTTGACAAAACATACTATGTACATGTATATATACTTCTCATCATTTGGTTGTAGTCACTTTTAGCTTGATAACGGTGTAAGAATCTACATCGAAACGTCGCTCTATACTATAAACAAGAAGTTGTTATCCATAGAGATGTATGTTTCATTTTTGACTGACCAACTTCTAGAATGCTGTTCAAACAATGTTTTATTTGGATATGACGTGTAACTACTATAACTGTGACACATATATCTGATATGATGATGTTTAGCAATTATTGGTTGTAAAGATGAATAATAGAGAGAGTTGTATATGGAAACAGGAGTGTAACTGACAAACACATAATGTTAATAAAGTAAACACAATAAATTTAAATAATTTAAAATGAAATGAGATTTATCAAAGTGGATAAAACAGGCTACCTACAGAAAAGAGTCAATTAAATCTTTTATCTACTCAATCAATTGCCTTTCAGTACGGTATGTGTCACTTTCTTTAGCCTAAATGATGATTTTAATTAATTATTTCACAATATATTTGCAATTCAGTATCACAGAAATAACAATGCATATTTACCAGTTGAAGGCCTCCAGAAATGTAGTGTCGTCTGCTCTTTGAATATCAGGTAAAGCTATCAATGATGACAAGTTTGGTATTCAATTTGGAGAAAACAATGCTGTAATATTCACTTTATCATAGTTAAAAAAACAGGGAAATGGATTCTTTCTTTTTGTCTGTGTAATTATTTCAACTTTCATCAAAATCTTTATAAGAAAACATGGCTAAAAATGGCCGTGTGCTCACTCTTTTATTCACAATGTTGGGCCAACGGTGGCCCAACTTTGTGAAATAGATGAAAGATCAGGGAACATAGGCAGAGTTTTTCAAATGTTGGCCCACTGTTGGACCAACGTGTCAAAAGCCACCGTTACTTTTAAGTCATTAAGATAACGTTGGGCCAATGTTGTCAAACTGTTGGCCAACCAACCAACCATATACCAACATTGGCCCAACACACCTTTGCTATCTGGGTACGACTGAACTAGAAAATGTGTTGCATGAGAAGTGAAATAGACTCCAACAAATCGCCTTTCGGAAACGCATACCTAGTATGCCTGGCCCAGTGAGAATATTTGACAAATCGAGGCCAAATTACGCACTTCCGATTAAGAAAACCTTGGAAGTTTCCAAATTAACCCTACCATCCTTCAAGAATGCTGGTCCATTTCTGGAACATTGCTAAATGCAGCGTAAAACCATATTCACTAACTCATTCAGCCCAGATATGTCACAATGCATGTGGAGAGTTCTGGAGAAACGGCCGGTCATAGCTCCACAGCAATATTATACAACCTCAAGAAGTCCCTGCGTTTTTTGCTTAAAGGTAGGAACATAATCTCAAACGATGTATGGTATACCACCCCATACAATTACACTTTCACCTCGGAACAACGTTAAAACGCTCTACTTGCACGCCTGTAGACCCCTGACGTCGTTGGTTGTTGGTTGGTTGTTTAACACCGCACTCAGCAATATTCCAGCTATATGGCGGCGGTCTCTAAATAATCGAGTCTGGACCAGACAATCCACTGATCAACATCATGGGCATCACGGGTCAGATCCCTGCTGTCAGATGTACAAGTAGCTGTGATGGTCACCATGACTACGACAGCAATCCAATCTGATTGGCACACGCTTCTCAAATGAGGGAGTGTGTATGGTTTAACACCGCTTTTAGCAATATTCCAGCCATATCACGGCTGGGGACACCAGAAATGGGCCTCACACATTGTACCCATGTAAGGAATCGAACCCGGATCTTCCGCGTGACAGGCCAACGCGTTAACCACTAGGCTACCCCTCCACCCGTTTCAAATAATGATTTTGTGACTGTATGAAACCCAAACCATGATTGCACGGATCTGCCAGTCTCCTCCTACTTGCAATCAAGTGTCGAATTCTCAACATCAAAATCCTAGTCCAATCCTCATGGCGTGCCAGCATCAATTTAGGTATATTTTGAACAGGAGGATCTGTTGCCCGAACTTTGCGTCCAAGATAGTCCCAAAGATGTTCTGACCGTGGTAATGTTTCGATTGTGTTGTTCTGCAAATGGGTGATGCCGGCTCGAGAACGATGAGGTCTAGCGTTGTCATCCATGACTATCGGACGACTGGCAGGGGGATGGTTATCAAAATGGGGCACGACGGCGGTACCCAGTACTTCCTTTTGATAACGTTGACCACTGAATGTCCCGGGTAGTGTAATGAGGTCGAGCTTGCAGTCCTACCAAACCCAAGCCGACATCGTCACTGATGGTTCAACTGCGTGGATCATCTTCTGGTAATATGGTAACTACTTTCAATGAACCTTTCGACATGTCCTAAAGTTGCGTTTTTCTCGCGATCGGGGCCTGCACTTCGCAACACGTTTCTGCCGTATGTGCGAATAAGGGACGTTTCCATCAGACGAGTAGCCTCCGTCTGATGCTACTGGTGTAGAGTCAAACTCCCACTCTCCATTGTTGACGTAGTTCTTTGGCATGGGGCATGAGATTTGGGCTTGCCAGACTCGGTCATGACCGTCACTGGTCTTTCTCGTCTTGGACGGGTTAAAATTGATCTTCAGTAGACCATGCTTGTCGCAAGAAGCGACTAACGGGATCGGGTGGTCAGGCTCGCTGACTTGGTTGACCCATGGTCATATTATCCCAATTGCGTGGATCGATGCTCATGCTATTGGTCACTGGATTGTCTCGTCCAGACTCGATTATTAACAGACTGCCGCCATATAGCTTGATAATTGCTGAGTGCGGCGTAAAACTATACTCACCCACTCACTCTTGGACGACCTTTCAGTTCACAGGTGATCATGTGCTTCCTCACAAGTCGACTAATAACCGTTTGGTTAATGTTCAAGTTAGCACTACTGTTGCGATAGTACATCCTGCCTCATGGACATCCGTGCTCCAATATACCGCAATCGTGTATTTTCTGAAAGTCTACGTTTTGTCACGTCAAGAAACGTTAGTCTGTGGTGTTGTCTTTAAAATAAGTTCAGAAAAGTGTAATGCACAAACTGCAAATATTAAATTTCTACCCTAATGTGCTTGACACATGCACATGCACGTGCACATAGGATCCATAGTATTTTAGACATCGTGTGCGACAAGCTCTGTGAAGCACGTGTTTTAGATGTGCATTTCAGCCAGTCTAAGTACAGGCTCAGTATTATTCGTTACACTGCTATACTGACGAATAATACTGAGCCTAAGTTTACTTAGACTGAATTCAGCATGCTGGGGTATGATCGCTTATATGGATCATAAACATTGCCCAAGGATTCATATCAGGTACAGGTCTGTGTGGATAAAGATGATATGATGTTTCACGGCTTGTCTCTGGAAACGTGTATAAGATTCCATGTTTATGTCCTAAATTTTCAATAGATCGGTCAGGAAAGGTGCGAGTTGTATAACCACATTTAAATGTCTTTTGAGTTGGAACCCGTGAAGATGCGGATTAGAATTCGTCTTCAGCATCCATGCTTCTCGTAAAAGGCGACTAACGGGATCGGGTGGTCAGGTTCACTGACATGGTTGACACAGGTCGTGGTATCCCGATTATTGATGCTCATGATGTCAATCACTGGATTGTCTCGTCCAGACTCGATTATTTACAGACCACCGTCATATAGCTGGAATATTGCTGAATGCGTTGAATGAACGAATTTCGATAGAGTATTTCGGAATCTTGAAACCACAATGCTTTAGATAATAAAGGTCAGTTTCAGTGACAACAAATGATGCCAAAGCCTATTACTGATGTGATTGTCAGTTTGTGCTTGTAAACTTGCGCCACACCATTCTCTTAATTCTGTTCAAACTTGACTCATTCATCGATCGCCGCCGCTGAGGGTGAACTGGGCATTCGCTCTATACGATTAAGAGTGACCAGCGCATAGATAGCAAAATTTCAGTTCTGTGCGAAGTGGCGGCGATGTAAGCTCCTTACATCGATATCTCTATCCTTGCGTTCATTCTGAGCTACCATTAACGATTGTGGCACGCACTGATATAAAGCTCGAAGCAAGTTTGAAAGAAGGGAGGTAACTTCGTACGTGTTAATTCCAGCTTGAACATTCACAAACGGCACTATGCAAGAAAAACGAGAGTTCAAACGTCTTCCAAAGGATGTCGTTCCTTCCAACTACAACATTCGGCTGAAACCAGATCTAGATGCATTTGTATTTCAGGGGCAGGAAGCAATAGATGTTGAGGTAATCAATGAAAATAACCCAGTCAGATAATGAAATGAAAATCAGCTGATCGAAACACCGGTTGTCTTACAAAGAAGGATTACTTATAAAGAACTATAGTAACTGGACCTGGACTGCACCCCCCCACCCCCTCACACACACACACACATATAGACGCATCTATTATGTGCTCGAACATCGTTGTTTGTCACGTATGTTACGTGTGGCACTATTAAGGTTAACTCAACAACCATCTTCCTGTTAAAGACGCTTAAGATAATCCTCTGTTTTCTCGACTATCGCAGGATCAATTGTAAAACATGCCACTTAACTTATTAAAGACATCATTATCTTAAACACAAGCCACTATCTGACGAAACATGCCTTGTTTCAGAAATGCAAAACGATTGACATCCAAAACCCAATAATCCAAAATGCATTATTTCATGTGACTAACCATGAGTCTGAATAATCGTGTTTGTACTGAGGTCCTGGTCCTCATCTCCTGACCCACTAACCTGAGTTACCCGCCCTTGCCCAAGGGAACTGGCAGACAATCAGACCCTTATCTGATCAGGGAAAATTCCAAATTGTTCAGATATGATTCTTACTTATTCTTGCTGAACAATATTTTATAAATATGGTTAACCATGGGTCTGGTTAGTCCTTCAGGTACAAAGGCCCTGTTCAGGATCTTGCTACCAGAAAGAGTGAGTGAGTTTGGTTTTACGCCGCTTTTAGCAATATTTTAGCAATGTCACGGCGGGTACACGAGAAATGGGGTTCACACATTGTACCCCTGTGGGGAATCGAACCTGGGTCTTCGGCGTAGAGCGAATACTTTAACAACTAGGCTACCCCACCAACCCTGCCACCAGAAAAAGATTTATGTCAAAGGCCAAATGAAGTGGCAGACATTTACATCATTTTTAAATGGACTTGAATCTGGTTTGGTATTGACAGTTAAGCCAGAACTTCAAGAGTATTGAGCCATGTCAGTATGCCCAATGAGTTAAATATACTTCATTAGTGATGCTTCATTCCCAGGCATTTTCGACCCGTGAAGGGCCGGGCTTTCAGCCCAGAAGGGTCTCCCTACTAGAAGGGCGTAGGTTAGAATAAACTTTCAGTGAAGCCCTTTCAGTAGCCCATGCTTGTCGTAAGAGGCAACTAACAGGATCAGGTGGTCAGGCTCACTGGCCTGGTTGACACATGTCATCGGTTCCCAAATTGCACAGATCGATGCTCATGCTGTTGATCACTGGATTGTCTGGTCCAGACGCAATTATTTACAGACCGCCGGCATATAGCTGGAATATTGATGAGTGCGGCGTAAAACTAAACTCACTGGCTCCCAGGCATTTCCAAATTCATCAATGTTCACAGTGGTTTCGCAATAATGTAAAACTGGGATTTAATGAACATTCAATATGAATATCCAGTATGATTGTTACACTTTTAGGCCTATTTGAAGATTTCTTTCTGAACAGCTGCTCCTATGCCTTGCAGATTGTGGGTTTTAAACTTACTCTTTCATAACAAAATATGAAAAAAATCTGGGTGCCAGTTCTGTTTTGCACTCTAAAAGATCTGTAAATGTTTATTAGGGTAAGTTTATCTGAACAGAAACACAGTAAATGATCACTTTGTTAAATAATAGTTTGATTAATTCCCAGGTAAAGAAGCCAACAGACACTGTGACAGTCAACTCACTCAACATCAAAATCAGCGAGGTGACATATCATGCACATGAAGGTGGTGGTGAGTTGTTTATAATATCTGCAATGACAATCAACAAACTCACTGAAGCCAGATCCTATAGCTCCCCATCACTAACGAAAGGTGTGATTGTTTGTCACTGTTGTTTTACACAGCCAAAAGAAAGGTGTGAAGACAAATCATTGCAAAATAACCCAGGGTTTTACGAGACGCGCAAATGTGCATCCGGTACACACAAATGTAGAGAATGGACGCAGAAAGAATTCACTGCATCCAGAAGGACACACAATATTATTCATTGTACCTACAACACATCTAAGTGTTTGGTTGTTTCATTTCAGAGCAGTTACGTGCATTATTTCATCCCACAGTCCAAATGATCAATGATTCATTCCAGGCTCTGAAATTTCCAGTTCACTACACTGTTACTTCACAGGATTCTCATGTTGTCTGCAAGGACCCTAAAACTAATAATTGGGGGTCCTCGGGACCTACATGTTTGTGAGTCCAGGTAAAACCTTTAATGAACTTTGAGTGACTGATGAAATGATAAAGCTACTTTCTTAAGCTGTACGGCACAGCTTTCAAATGGAGACTACTATTTCTCACTGTGTTTTGTAAAGTATTTGACAATGTTGTCTATTCAAAATGTAAAAACTGAACAATGATTGTGATTATGACTGTTGTTTTATGCCCCACTCAGGAATTTAGATACAGGTGTGAGAAGAAACCATTACAGGTACATTCCGAACAATGCATTGTTAAGTGTTTGACTAAGTTGTCTTTGTAAAATTTTATAACTGAACAATGAAAACTTCTGGAATGTCAAATGAAAGCCAAAATGGTATGGTAGTAGTTCCGCTTTTGAAAGTCTTTTCAATTTGAAATGTTTCCTATTTGTAATTGTATTAGAGTGAGAGATAGGCAGTGATTTTGTCGGAATCAGTCCAACAGCTGGTGACTGTGGTCAGAAAAAGCCCATGTGTGTTGTTAGGAGTAATCCTTGTGAACCTTTTTGACCTTGTATGTTCAGAAGACACATTGAGACAGACGCTCTCACGATCTGGTTAGCAACACTCCGTTTGTTCGAATGAAGGGTTGTTCTAACGTGATCTGTAAGGGGTTGTCCTCAGATCATTTTTTAGTAGTAGTGAGCTCTAAGATCTGATTTTAATTAACTTTTGACAGTCACCATGGTCAATTGCCCATTGTTTAGTTTTCATAACAGACCAGTGTAAAAATACCTTGTGTGATTAGTCAGTACTGGATCTAATACCATTATTCTGCAATCAATTCAGTCTTTTGTGACTGTGATGTCTCATATTTACATGGTTTACTCCTATTAGTGAAGGGGCGGTGGGGTAGCCTAGTGGTTGAAGCGTTGGCTCGTCACGCCGAAGACCCAGGTTCGAATCCCCACATGGGTACAATGTGTGAAGCCCATTTCTGGTGTCCCCCGCCGTGATGTTGCTGGAATATTGCTAAAAGCGGCGTAAAACCATACTCAGTCAGTCAGCCTATTAGTGACATATCCCATCAGACAACATTCTCTTCCCACAGAGGTTACACAAATCATATCTTCCTATGAACCTCTGTTCTAATACGGCCATATTTCCCGGTTCTCGTAAACTCCCCTAGCAGCAAAAAATGGCAACACGAATTATCTCCCTTCTTTCTATCCAATCAAAACAGGTGTTACATCGACTTGGATTCAACTTGACTAACACAAGCAAATGTGGGGCCACAAATATCCCTCCTCTGCCGGGGACTTGTGTTGATGTGACACACAAGACATTTAATGGCTAGCTTGTCTGTTGTCAACGAGGGCGATGGAGATGCCATTGATCCGCCATTACATGACTGAATTCTGCCTAGAAGAAATGTTTGTGCATCACGCAGGGGAAGAGGTTCTAGTTTTCATGAAGAATATTGAAATTACCGAGGCTTTGCGAATGATCACTTTTGAAACGACGTTGCTCATTGCACAACTAAATCTGATTGCAACCAATCACGAATCCTGAACACTTTCGCACCATGAAAGGGCCGTATTAGAACAGTGGGAAGAGAATGACTCAGAACCTCTGTGTGATAAGGGGATGATAAAGGGTCAACACCTATGTCCAGTATTATACCAGCTAGCGCAGTGACTATAGCAAAGAGGACAGTGAGAGTACTATTGACTTCTCAGCAACAGTAACCTTACTTGTAACTGTAAGCAGATATGTCAGTGATGAGAGGCAAGAGTTAAATCCCCTCATATACCTCTCTAGGGCAGATGATTTTGGACTAAGGTGCTTGTAGCCTTTTCCAGATCATTCTGTCAAATCTAGTATAAGCCTAATTGTACCATGCCCTGACTGTGGTCCCTTTGATCTCAGTCATGGTGTATTGAATAGTTACACCACGTTTTGAGCTGCCTTCGACAGGAACTCTCTGATTGGCTCTTTGCAATTTTAGCCACACCTACGTTTAACGTAACATAACTGTCTGTCTCAAATGGAGACAACCAATTTCTAGATTCAGTTTCCATTACATCGGCAGCTTGTTAGAGAGTGATGTCATCGATTTTATCATACTGCAATTTAGTGCCTTCAATTTCGTCAACTATTTTGTGACAGTCTAATGCCGTCTATGGTATTATCCCACTCGTGACTAGACATGGTGGCAGTCTCAAACAGAATGATTATAAATTCAAATATCCCGTTCAGATTTCGAAACTTGAATGCTGAATGTGGGCATGGTACAAAGCAGTTAAAGTGTTCGCTCATCACGCCGAGGACCCGGGTTTGATTCCCAGCATGGGTACAATGTCTGAAGCCTATTTCTGGAGTCCTCCGCCGTGATATTGCTGGAATATTGCTAAAAGCATTGTAAAACCCAACTCACTCACTCACTCACTATAACAGTGCCTCATAACAATCAGAGATTAATATGGTCAACATCCATCTTTCCACATGCTATCCTATACCGTATTTAGTATAAGTATAAAATTAAATCAATTTGGTATAGCATGTGTGGTATGTGTATGACAACAACAAGTTTTGTGTGAAATATTGTCATACCAACAGTGCTAGCTTTTGTTATATTACTGGATTAATGCAAGTGAAAATGTTATCATATCTCTGCATTTTTCAGTATACAATTGATATGATCATTTCCCTTTCTATGAAATCATTTCATCCAAAAAGTCTAAACTTTCAGATTCATTAAAACTCATGAAGTTGTGTATGATGGCATTCCCTCTGTAAGTAAGTGCTAAGTAGGTCATCATTAGTAATATGTTTTGTCGATATGTAATCTAACATATGTTATATCTGGGATTACACTGTCTTAGTAAAGTACAGATTCTAGTACTTTTGTTGGGTTGAGTCCCATGCAGGATTCGAACCCACACCCTCAGAGTCAGGCACCTAATCGCAAGCACACAAAGTCAGCCACCTAACCCGCTCAACCACCACGGCTTCCATTACTAAGAAAGTGTAAGTGTAAATAAAAAATTTAAAAAGAAGAGAAAGTGTAATCCCAAATATAACATGTTACATTTGACCACTTTCTAAATGGCATTGTGTATTCATGATCTCTTATCGTCTGTACTCAGTTTGAATTGTGAGTGAGGATATTTCAGCCTCCATGCTTTTTCTTAGACAGCTCCTTGGTGGCTGAAGTGTCAACTGACAAGGAGGCGGAGACGGCCACTTTCAAGTTCCCCTCGGCCCTACAGGTGGGTTGTATGTAATAGAAGCGACAGAACCCCTTTAACCATCCTATCTTTCGGACCTCCTTGAAGAAAATCACTTCGCTCAGAAAAGAATTTGGTCATTGTACCAAATGTCTTAGCGTCACACTATGGAAAACATTGCTTTGTATACTCTGTAGCTGTGAGACCCATTTCTGGTGTCCCCGCCATGTTATTGCTGGAATATTGCTAAAGGCGGCGTAAAACCACACTCACTCACTTACCCACTACTCAGTAGCCATTGCCAGGAACAGTCTACCACAACACCTTCATGACTGCAGTGAATTGTGTATTTCCACTCACTAAAATCCTGTCGCTTTAGACTTACTTTATCCAATTAACACAGAAATGGACTATTATTGCTATTATTATAAAATATTTCTGAATCTAAGAAGTATTCTGACTTTAACAATAGCACATGTTCATGAATCACTATCAAATGGTGATAATACCAGGTGGTTGTAAAAATGTGAATGTATCCTGGTCCACCATTGGTACCATCACAAACCCATGCAGTGGCAAGTCAAGTGTTGCCATATGGTACAAGTAAACACATTTAGGGAAATCTCATCATAATGTCCTGTGTGATCATGATCATATTTCACATAATTTAATACTTGTGGAATACATCTGCAGATTTGTAGTGAGTGAGTGAATTTTGTTTGACGCCACACTCAGCAATATTCAAGCTATATGGCGGCGGTCTGTAAATAATCGCACCTGGACCAGACAATCCAGTGATCAACAGCATGAGCATGGACCTGCGCAATTGGGTACCGTTGATGTGTCAACCAAGTCAGCGAGCCTGACCAACTGATCTCGTTAGTTGCCTCTTGCGACAAGCATGGGTTAGTAAAGATCAGTTCTAACCCAGATCTTCAAGGGTCGTAGATTTGTAGGTCATTGTGTTAGGGTAATAAACTTTTACAGCTCTAGAAGCATCAAAGCCAACATGGCCTGTAGATACAATGATGAAGCATCTATTCATCATGTCTTGAAACAATGTGGGACATGGATGACCATGATGCTGATTGCAACAATATACAAGGTTCACCAGCAATTTGTTTCTCCCGGACCCAGAAGAGGACGGGCTGGAGATGCGTGTGGGAGGGAATTACCTAAGGTCCCCCCGTCCCAAAGCAAAAAAGCCTAGATATAAAGGCAGAAAGGCTAGATCGGCGCCAGTCGATTAGCCTTCCACTGCTCCCTAGTAAGCGGATTTGATATGTCTACCCCTCTGGCTTGGTCGGGCGCTCTCCTGCTGCCGGAGGATTCAGCTCCCAGTCCCCTCGGGTTAGGCGCAGGGTCAGGCGGGGATAGAGGCCGGAGGCACCAGTTCTGCCTGGTCTGCCTCAGCGTCCACCGGGACCCGAGGGTTAGATGCGTGATGGCAGGTGCTGGCGGAAGGCTCTACTAGGCCCACATACTCGAGTTGGGTCCTGAGGAGACCCAGCCTACCAGTTCGGGCTCAGGCGGCTTGAGATCCATATGGACACTAAGGGAGGTTGCCTTCCTCGCTTTTCATCTGAGGGGAAGTCCGGCGGCGCATTGCGAGTTCGCTTCCCCAGGCTGCGGTGCCCACCAGCGCTTTCCGGTTCGACTCGAGTTCCAGCTGCCAGGCGGCGTTTGCCTCTAGGCAACAAGGCGCTGCTCCACATTCTGCCGAAGATCCCCCTCCGCAATGCAGGTCCGCGCCTCCGTTTTGGAAGCTTGCCAGAGCAGGTACCCAGCTGGGGGAAGATTCCCTATTCTGTGCCAATGGTCGCATTGTACAATAGCTTACTGATGTTTTCAGCCAGGTAAAGGTGTGCTGAAGGTGAGCTTCACCGGTGAACTCAACGACAAGATGGCTGGTTTCTATCGCAGCAGGTACACCATGCCTGATGGAGGAAAGAGAGTTGGGGCAGTCACACATTTTGAGGTAATGTAGTCCTTGTTCTGTGTTGTCATTGGACCCGTGAAAGGTCTTCACTCACTCACTCACTCACTCATCTTCACTCACTCACTCATCTTCACTCACTCACTCATCTTCACTCACTCACTCCCTCATCCTCACTCATCTTCACTCACTCATCCTCACTCAGACATCTTCAACCGTGAAGGTCCGGGTTAAAATGAACCTTCAGTAACCCCTGCTTGTTGTAAGAGGCGACTAACACGATCGGGTGGTCAGGCTCACTGACTTGGTTGACGCAGATCGATGCTCATGCTGTTGATCACTGGATTGTGTGGTCCAGACTAGATTGTTTACAGACCGCTGCCATACAGCTGGAATATTGCTGAGTGTGATGTAAAACTAAATTCACTCACTTCACTCACTCACTCACTCACTCACTCACTCACTCACTCACTCACTCACTCACTCACTCACTCACTCATCACTCACTCACTCACTCACTCACTCACTCACTCACTCACTCACTCACTCACTGTGTTGTCATTGAAAGAGATGAGAATCTGTCTTTTTTAGACTGTTTATTGCTTTTTACTAGAACATATAACTGATATAGACAAGTGTTAAACATTCCAGCAGCTTACTGTACCAAACATGACAACCCAAACACGGAAAGTATGTCATTCATTTATTCTAAATCAACAACTGTCTTTCCAACGATTCCAAAACCACCATCTTAGTTTCTGTTGCCTCCTGGACAGTCAAGGATTAGAATTACCTCCATTACAAATTAATTGCTCAGTATTATTTTGTAAAATGTAATGTTTAGACCGAACGAAGGGAATTCGTTTGGTACTTCGTGTAGGTAATGTGTGGGCTGTTGCCAAACTCTGGTACTCCTTATTATGATCCATTACCTGTTCTTCAAACAGTTCAAAATAGACATTGAGGTGTTCGGTACGATAAATACGTTGTTCACTGGTCCCTCGGGGCCCATGGATTGATGTACCCTCGATGTTTGTCTTTGTTCCCCTCGCCCAAGGGTACATTTGATTGCAAGTGGGCAGACTAGAATGGTGTAGTGACGTCAATTCAGTGTGATGTAATGCAAAAAGTGTACTTTATCACCTGATGAAATGCTGTAGGCAGGTTTGATCTTTCAGTGAAGCATCTTAGAAGTATGAATTAGGGACAGGAGATAAACTCACTATATTTCAATGTAGTTCTAATAGTCTTAGATGTAACTGAGCTAAATTTATTTTGGAATCGAACATAAGGATCATGTGACATTTTGCTTTAATGACATCGATTGTTGCTCACCAGTTTGATCACTGGATTGTCTGGTCCAGACTGGATAATTTACAAGTCACTGTCATATAACTGGAATTTTGGAGTGGGCAGCTTGAGACAAAAAACAAACGTAATTTAAGGGCATTAGTTATAAATACCATGTATGATGATGTGGTTTTGTACACAAATGGGATGCTTGTTGTATATTGATCAAACAAGAAATTTCCATTTTTTTACTTTGCAGGCAACGGGAGCTCGCCAAGCTTTCCCTGGCTGGGACGAACCTGCGGTCAAGGCCACTTTTGACATTACACTTGTTGTACCCAAGGATAAAACAGCGCTCAGCAATATGGTAGGATAGGTTTGAAAGATAGGTTTGAAATATGAGACTATATCTATTACATGGGATATGATGTCTAAAATGTTGAATATAATTTCATTTCTCTTTCAACACCAAGAGTTCTGTTCATTAACTGACCCCTTTGTAGGAATGTTTAACGAACATGATCAGGATTAAAGGACATGGTGAAGTAGTCTAGTGAGATTGGACCCTCTCATTAGAGTAATATGTGAGACATTATCATAATCTTGGACCCAACTTTATGATATCGCTTGAATATTGCTGAAATCATACTCTGTTATTGTCATTCCTAGGAAGGTAGGTGAAGGGGTAATGATAGGGTAGGTAATATTGTTGGCTAAGTCGACTAAAGTGGCACATTTCACTGTCCAGAGATATCTCCCTTATCTCCGACAGAAACCTGTAATTTTGAGTTTAAACCTAAAGCTAGATAGACCTGTTAAGATCCAAGTTAGAATTGATCTTCAGTAAGCTTCACCCATGCTTATTGTAAGAGACAACTAACGGGATCGGGCGGTTAGGCCCGCTGACTTGGTTGACACATGTCATTGTATCCCAATTGTGTAGATCGATGCTCATGATGTTGATCACTGGATTGCCTGGTCCAGATTAGCTGGAATATTGCAGCATAAAACTAAACTCACTCACTCACTAAAGCTAGATGAAGCCGGTAACATCATGTTTCACATTAGGTGAGAGATAACTAAGTATCACTGGTGTAACAATGAAGTTTAGAAACAGCTTAATGACTGGATGTATTTGTAGCCTGTCAAGTCTGACACCCCGGATAAGGATCCAAACTGGCGCGTGGTGGAGTATGACAGAACACCCATCATGTCCACATACCTACTGGCATTCATTGTGGGGGACTACGACTACGTAGAGGGCAAAGACGTGGACGGTGTCGTCGTGAGAGTCTACACACCTGTGGGCAAGAAGGAGCAGGGCAAGTTTGCCCTTGATGTAGGTCAACAGCAGATTCATTCATCATATTTTGTTCTGGTAGTACTTGGTCACTCAACCCATGAAGGTCCGAGTTAGAATTGACATTCAGTAACCCATGCTTGTCGTTAGAGGCGACTAACAGGATCAGGTGGTCAGGCTCGCTGGCTTGTACGTATCCCAATTGCGTAGATCGATGCTCATGCTGTTGATCACTGGATTATGAGGTCTAGACTCGATTATTTACAGACCGCTGCCATATAGCTGGAATATTCCCGAGTATGGCGTAAAACTAAACTCACTCACTCACTCACTCACTTGTTGTTGGTACTCTAAAGGCCAGTGGGGTAGCCTAATGGTTGAAGTATTTGCTCTTCATGCCTAAGAGCCAGGTTCGATGCCTCACATGGGTACAGTGTGTGAAGCCCATTTCTGATGTCCCGTGCAGTGATATTGCTAAAATGTTGATAAAAGCCGGGTAAAACTAAATTCACTCTCACTCACTCACTCACTCACTCACTCACTCACTCACTCACTCACTCACTCACTCACTCACTCACTCACTCACTAGTAAAATAGCTTGTGAGTGAAATTAACTGAAGGCTTTGTAAGTGTCAAACCATGGAGAGAGATTATCAAAAAGTATAACTGAGGCTTGTGAAAATAAGTTTCATATTTGTCATAACCCTCCTAATATAGAAATGTTTGCTAATGTTATGTTTATTCTATTTAAAACCATTACATCTGCTATGTACTTGAGTTCCCAAATGATATGTTTAAGGTTGCTGTGAAAACCCTGCCCTTCTACAAAGAATACTTTGGCATCCCGTACCGATTACCTAAGGTGGATCTTATAGCTCTTGCAGACTTTCTCATAGGTAAGAGAAATGATGTGAAAGATTTTCTCTATGGACAGGATAGTTTTGTTTTTTTTAACCCTTTAGAGGTCAGAATTAGGTCAGAATTGACTAGGGGCGGTGGGGTAGCCTAATGGTTAAAGCGTTGGCTCGTCACCCCGAAGACCCGGGTTCGAATCCCCACATGGGCACAATGTGTGAAGCCCATTCCTGGTGTCCCCCGCCGTGATGTTTCTGGAATATTGCTAAAAGCGGGGTAAAACCAAACTCAGTCAGTCAGTCAGTCAGAATTGACTATGTTTTGGATGCAAAAATCTTAAGTTGTGGACTTGAGAATGGGCGCCAGTATGAGCAAAGGGGGATCACTCCCAGCCTGCCAAAGGAGCTCCTGTCTGCTGTGTAGCAGATGAGATATATATTGAGGCTGAACCTCCTGTTAATATGTTTGTTGTGTCCTGTAGACGCAATGGAAAATTGGGGTCTCGTAACGTACAGAGAGACGGCACTGCTGGTGGATCCCACAAACTCCTCTGCAAATGTCAAGCAATACGTGGCACTGGTTGTAGGACATGAGCTGGCTCATATGTGGTTCGGGAACCTGGTCACAATGGTATGTATGTGTGTTTTTGGGTTTGTTTGTATGTGTATTGTATATATATTTTTACGTGTGTGTTATGTTTTTGATTTTATATGGGTTTGTTTTTGTGTGTGTTCTTGTATGTGTGTCTGTCTTTCTGTGTGACTGTCTGACTGAATGTCTGTCTGTGTGTCTGTCTGTCTGTCTGTCTTATAACCTACACCAAATGCTCTCCCTGTAATAAAGAAGTTCATCCATATATTGTTATCTATCACCTTGTCTGTCTGTCTGTCTGTCTGTCTGCGTGTCTGTCCGGTGTGTGTTGTTTGTTCTGAATGGAATGCTTTAAGTGCTGCAAATATATTAATTGATATAAAATAGTTGACATTTATAGGAATGGTGGACCAACTTATGGCTAAAGGAAGGTTTCACGTCCTGGATCGAGTATCTGTGTGTGGACGAGTGTTTCCCTGAGTATGACATCTGGACTCAGTTTGTCAACATCGATCTGGGCCGAGCCCTGGAGCTGGATGCCCTTCACACCAGTCACCCTGTTGAGGTACCTAATAATCAGAGTGAGTGAGTGAGTTTAGTTTAACGCTGCACTCAGCAATATTCCAGCTATATGGCAGCGATCTTTAAATAATCTGGACCAGACAATCCAGTGATTAACAGCATGAGCATCGATCTACACAATTAGGGACACAATGACATGTGTCAACCAAGTCAGCGAGCCTAACCACCCGATCCTGCTAGTTGCCTCTTTCGCCAAACATGGGTTACTGAAGATCAATTCTAACCTAGATCTTAAGGGGCCCTTCTAGCTTTAGGTTCAAAATCAAAATTATTGGTTTCTGTTGGAGATAAGGGAGATAACTCTGCACTGTGAAATGTGCCACTTTAGTTGACTTGGCCAACAATATTACCTACCCTATCATCACCCCTTCCCCTACCTTCCTAGGAACTTTTTACGGTAACTGAGTATGATGCGATGACATGTCAACCAAGTCAGCGAGCCTGACCACCCAATCCCGTTAGTCGCTTCTTTCGACAAGCATGGGTCACAGAAGATCAATTCTAACCTGGATCTTCATGTGTTCCCATTCCACAAGGGCGGTGGGGTAGCCTAGTGGTTAAAGCGTATGGCCCTGGTTCAAATTCCCACATGGGTACAAAGTGTGAAGCCCATTTCTGGTGTCCCCGCCAGTGATGTTGCTGGAATATTGCTGAATGGGGTGTAAAACCATACTCACTCACAAACTCACTCACTCAGCAATCTTAGCGCTAAAACAATCGTAACTGCCATACTTTACCATATACTCACAACACAACAACACATTCTGGAATAGGTTCATGTATTTGGTGTCATCACACAGGTCCCGGTCGGCCATCCAGCGGAGGTGGACGAGATCTTTGATGCCATCTCCTACTGCAAGGGAGCTTCTGTCATCAGGATGCTGCACGACTACCTGGGGGACGAGGTCAGTTGACGTCAGTCATGTTTGTTTATTTGTTTATTGATTTATTTTCAGCAATATTTTGTGAGAAGGGTTTAGTGAGTTTCAAGGTCATGTTACCCATGGGTCATAATATTGACTATATTATAGCTATATACTGCAGCCTGTAAATAATGATGTCTGGACCAGACAATCCAGTGATGTTATGAACAACAATCCATGAATTCAGTGTACATTGACTTGCCATCCACCGGGTCACCAAGGTCTACCACTTTGTCAATTAGGTTGCCTCTTATGACCAGCATATGTTTCGGGAGACCTGTTCTTAAAAGGATTACGATAAATCATGAGTGCATGTTGTCTACATCCACTGTGCTTGCAATCTGTGGTAGGGTAGCCAACTGGTTAAAGCAGCTGCTTATCACATTGAAGTTTCATGTTTGATTCTCTTCTTGAAAAGATATGAGGTAAACTGTAGGTGTCCCCTGAAATTGAAAATGTGATGATGAGTGTACCCTGAAATTGAAAACATCATGATGTTGAAAACATGATGATGATGATGATGATGATGATGATGATGATGATGATGATGAAGACCATGACGACTTGTGAATTAAAGTTTACTCTTGTCTTTGGATGAGTCTTTAAAAACGAAATGCTAAACTTTGCTACATGCTGGTATTTATGTGTTTGATTTAAAGAGTGAGCTATGTTTTACAGGATTTCCGTAAAGGAATGAACAAGTACCTGACGAAGCACTCCTATCAGAACACGGAGTCCGAGGATCTGTGGGCTTCCTTGGGAGAAGCCAGCAGGAAGCCAGTGGCCAAGATGATGAACACTTGGACCAAACAGATGGGCTTCCCTGTCATCAAGGTAAGCAGAGGACTCACGAGGGACAGACATGTTTCTGTGGCTTCAAGGTTGGCTTCTCTCAAGGGGAGACGATTAGATGGAGTTTGGAAACACTTCTTTTTCAGATAAAGTTCAAGCAAGGAATCCATCTGAAAGACCTGGGTTATGGCGCTCTACATTTAACCGAAAAATATCAATAAATATTTTTTGTTATCATGATGGTTATTTTACACCCACCAGGTCAGCCATTCATTATTTACCTGTTGTTCTTTTTAGTCTTCTGTTAGAGTTATCTTTCCTTTACTGTGAAAAGTAATGGTTCACAATGTACAAAACTATCACAGCTTTGCTGTTTCCAAACTCATGGAATGTATTTTCAACACTTTAGAATGAAATTCTCACTCTTATTTTAGAGTTTCTGGTTGTCTTTGCTTTTTGAAAGCAAGACCATTTGGCCTTAGGTTCAAGTAAATTGGCGGATTTTTTTTTCTTTTTTTTGGGGGGGTGTATTCAGGGGGTTTAGAAACACCCACACCCACCCCCTTTTGAAAATTACTAAAGACCACATTCAAGTTAATGTTTTGTATTGGCGGATCCAAGGGGGGGTTCATGGGGTTTGAACCTCCTGAACCTCTCCCTTTGAAACTTCCTGGATCCGCCTATGAAGTATCTGTCCCATGAACAGTGACAGTTAGATTTAAGTGCAGGGTCTATTGAAAGTTGTGAAAATTATTGTAAATTTTGAGACAATAGCTGCTATTAAAGGAATGAGTCATAGTATTATGTGAAGTACTACTACTATCTACTTCTGTTTGTCAGGTGAATGAGAGACAGGATGGAGACAAGCGGGTTCTCACGGTCACACAGGAGAAGTTCTGTGCTGACGGTAACCTACCTACAGGTAATGATCAGAATGATATTCTTTGCTGATGTATTGGATGTTCAGGGTATCAGCTTGGATGAAAATTTTTATGACTATTTTTTAAAAATAGTTATGGTGAAGAAAAGCTCACAATTTCATAAAAATGTCCTCAAACATTTTAAAGATCCCTACTTTTTATCCCCCGCAACACGTTTTGCGGGGGGTATTAAAATGGACACCGTCCGTGCGTGCGTGCGTCCGTCCGTCTGTCCGTCCGTCCGTCCGTCCGTGCACATTTGTCTTTTCCGGAGCAGAACTCTAAAACCGTTCACTATTTCTTCACCAAACTTGGCACATAGATAGATCTGGTGGTGTACTGGTGCCTTTTGGTAGTTTTGGATTTCTGAATATAATATTTTTGGCGTTTCTGTGGCAACAAGTTTGACTTAGCCTGAAATTGGTGGTAGTGCACTTTTCCGGAGCAGAACTCTAAAACCGTTCACTATTTCTTTACCAAACTTGGCACATACATAGATCTGGTGGTGTACTTGTGCCTTTTGGTAGTTTTGGAATTCTGAATAAAACATTTTTGGCGTTTCCATGGCTAAAAGTTCGACTTAGCCTGAAATTGGTGGTAGTGCACTTTTCCGGAGCAGAACTCTAAAACCGTTCACTATTTCTTTACCAAACTTGGCACATACATAGATCTGGTGGTGTACTTGTGCCTTTTGGTAGTTTTGGAATTCTGAATAAAATATTTTTGGCATTTCCATGGCAACAAATTTGACTTATCCTGAAATTGGTGGTTGTGCTCCTTTCCTGGGCAGAACTCTAAAACCGTTCACTATTTCTTTACCAAACTTGGCACATAGATAGATCAGGTGGTGTACTGGTGCCTTTTGGTAGTTTTGGAATTCTGAATAAAATATTTTTGGCATTTCCTTGGCACCATGGCAACAAATTTGACTTAGCCTGAAATTGGTGGTTGTGCTCTTTTCCGGAGGTGAACTCTAAAACCGTTCATTATTTCTTCACTAAACTTGGCACATAGATTGGTCTGGTGGTGTACTGGTGCCTTTTGGTAGTTTTGGAATTCTGAATAAAATATTTTTGACATTTCCATGGCAACAAGTTGACTTAGCCTGAAATGGTGGTAGTGCTCTTTTCCGGAGCAGAACTCTAAAACCGTTCACTATTTCTTCACCAAACTGGACACATAGATAGATCTGGTGGTGTACTGGTGCCTTTTGGTAGTTTTGAAATTCTGAATAAAATATTTTTGGCTTTTCCGTGGCAACAAGTTGACTTAGCCTGAAATTGGTGGTAGTGCACTTTTCCGGAGCTAAATTCTAAAACCGTTCACTATTTCTTCACCAAACTTGACACATAGATTAGTCTAGTGGTGTACTGGTTCCTTTTTGGTAGTTTTGGAATTGGTGATAGTGCTCCTTTCTGGAGCAGAACTTTAAAAACCTTTCAATACTCTCCTTCCACTTTTCTATAATACACACCTAAATATTTGACATAATCATACCTCGTAGACATAATCATGAAGAGTATTTTGCCATTGCGGGGGATATTGATGACTTTGTCTTCTTGTTTGCTTCAGTATGTTTGTTTTTCTTTATTTTCCACACTTGATTCTGATAAGGGATCTAACCATGCTCTGAAGGTGTATTGTTGACAGTAAACAAAGTTACATGGTATGTTAGGGATTACACACTTTCTAGTAAAGTACAGATTCTTGTACTTTTGTTGGGTTGGATCCCATCCAGGATTCGAACCTACACTTTTTGAGTCAGGCACACTAAATTAGCAATCTAACCCACTCAGCCACCACTCATAAAGTGTAATCCCAAATACAGCATGTGTTATATTTGACCACTATATATATGGCATTGTGTATTCATGAGGAAGTTTCGTAAGGATTTTTGTCTGTTCACATGCTAGTGTCAAGATACGTCAGTCGATCAACCATTACAAATTAAACCATGATTTCTTTATAATTTTTCAAATTTGTTATGATTTTATAGTTCTATGCTTTTTTTTATTGACTTGAGCCTGATTTCATTTGTTGAGATGCCCAGAGTTTCACATATATATGTCTGTACCTCAACTTGTTGTGACAGACGACAAGTCCAGCTGGTGGGTTCCCATTAGCTTCTCCACTGCCAGCAGCCCCTCCACCCCAGTCAAGACCATCATGCTGGAGGGGAAGAGTTCAGAGGTCACACTGGACAATGTCAAGGCTGGAGAATGGGTCAAGGTCAGCATGTCTGTAACACAACTAGCACTGTTATGTGTCGATTTTGATGGAAATCAATCAAGTGTATAATTTTTGTCATGAGCAATTTACACAGTTTTGTTAATCAGAGGCTGTACATGAGTGGTACATGGATGATGAAGATGATACTAAGTATCATTTATGTACCACTTGTGTTCCATTCATATGCTAATTATGTACTATGCATGTATCACATGCTGCCTATGTACCACATATGTACCACTTATGTATCTTGCAAATTCCCGCATTGAACTATTACATATGAATATATAACTATTTCAAAGAGATAACAATATGTTAGAATTGGTCTTCAGCAACCCATGCGTGTTGTAAGAGGCAACAAATACGATCGGGTGGTCAGGTTGCTGACTTGGTTGACACTGGTCATCGTATCCCAATTGTGTAGATTGATGCTCATGCTGTCAGTCACTGGATAGACTAGTCCAGACTCAATTATTTGCAGACCAGGGCCTAGATTTCCGAAGCTCTCTTAGCGCTAAGATAGTCGAAAGTGCCATACATTAACATTAACTTACGACTATCTTAGCGCTAAGAGAGCTTCGAAAATCTAGGCCCGGTGTCATTTACCTGTGACAAACAAAGAAAACTAAGAGATAAAAGTTATGAAGATGTACCATTTTGTCCCAGGTACATGTGTGATACATTGGGTGTACATAGGTGTTACCTCTTTGTGACAGTTGAACACCAACACTTTAGGCATCTACAAGATACACAGATGGTATGTGGTTGGTACAGAGGTGGTACAAGGATGGTACAAAGATGGTACATAGGTATCTTCTGCTTGCTACAGGTCAACACCAACACAGTGGGTGTGTACAGAGTACAGTACCCTACAGAGATGCTAGCAGCTCTGATCCCGGCTGTCAAGGACAGATCCCTTCCTCCCAGAGACAGACTCGGACTGCAGAGTGACCTCTTTGCACTGGTCAGTAAAAATACTATACTAAGAACTGGAAGTCATATTCCAAGACAACGCTTGGCACTCAAGCAATACATGTTAGAAGTGAAGCTTCCATACACAATCAAGAAAGACATATTAAGCATTACTAAATGTCTTATACAGGGTGTCAAGACCACTTCATAGCTAGCACCAGGTAGATATATCAATATTTTTAAGTGTGCTGGGACTTTAATGATGTGGAGTGGTAGGGTAGCCTAGTGGTTAATGCGTTCACCCGTCACGTTGAAGACCTGGGTTCGATTCCCCACATGGGTACAAAATGTGAAGCCCATTTCTGGCATCCCCCGCCTTGATATTAATGGAATATTTCTAAAAGCGGAGTAAAACTAAAACTCACTCACTCTCTTTAATGATGTGATCGCTTCAGTGCTAGTAGATTTAAGTTTGTATTCATGCTTGTTGTTCATTTCCTCAGGCCCGAGCTGGCATGGCAGCATCCGAGGACGTACTGAAGGTGGTCGAGGCCTTCATCAACGAGGACAACTACACAGTGTGGAACGACCTTGCCCTTAACCTTTCCAGCATGGCCGTCCTACTCCAGTACACAGACTCTTATGACCTTTACAAGACCTTCGCCCGTGACCTCTTCTCTCAGGTGGTCAAGACCGTGGGCTGGGACAAGAAGGAGGGTGAAAGTATGTCCATAGTTTTAATATAGAGAAAATGTCGGAAGTAAATACATGTATAAGTGACTGTAAAACCAGCATTAAAATTCCTCTGTGCAGAAAGAAAATTGTCTTTATGTCATATGAAAAGCAGGACTTACTCTCAAGAGGTAGAAGTAAAGGATCAAAACCTTCTCCTTGGTTTTGTTTGAAAAACTAAGCCCACAGCAGGGGAGGGCCGATAAGCCCTACCCAATTTCCCAAGGCCAAGGGCTTACTTTTTCAAACAAAACTGAGGATGAGGTTTTGATCCAACATATGAACCGACCGAAGATGTACTTTGATATAATTTTGATATTTGGTATTTACTGTTGAAATCAACTGGGTTGCGACTGGCAGCCGACACCTTGCCTTGCACGAGCAATGCACGTGCTCTGCACACGCTACCCGTGTCCTACACGTGTGCTGCCCACCTTGTGAGGAACACATGGTTCATACTGACAAACAATCTCATTCTTCACAGCGATCCTTCGTAGCCTAGTGGATAAAACCGCCAAGCAAGTATCGGCACTACATATTGGAAGTTTTCAATAATGTGATATTTTACAATCGTATTCAGTGATAGCAAGACAAAGTTATATCAATCTTCAAAACAAGTAACAATTCAAAGTCAAGGGCTATTCATCAGAAAATTCCGGGGATGCGGGCAATTCTGTAGAAGCCTGCGAAGCTGCCTATAGAGGTTTACTCGGTAAGAGGAGAACCTGGCGAGACAATAGAGTGACGTCTCTGGAGGTTTATAAGATTGTCAATGACCCAAAGTACAACTTAGAATAACTTGAAATAAGTCACAATGAATACATCCTATTGGTATCTATAGTTGCTGTTAAACATCGAAATTATGGGTTTCACAAAGTAAATAATTGAATAAACACTGTTCAACTCGTTTTTTTACACGTAGCTTATATGCAAACTCTTGATGAAATGGCTGCTCAATATTCTTCTCAAGTTGTGAGGGAATTTTGTTTTAATAAATGACACAAGCGACCTAATGTATTACTGTCACGTGAAACATGTATTATGCGTCTGCCTTTGGAGAGAATGTTCATGCCTCCTGTAAACATGCAGGTATTGTAAAGTCTGTGGCAAATCCAATCTTAGGTCATCTAACAGCCATGTTGCGAGATCTCATCCTGACCAAGATGGGTCGCTATGGTGACGAGCCGACAGTAGCAGAGGCCAGGAAGAGGTTTGAGAGTCACTGCAGTGGAGATAAAGTCATCCCTCCTGATCTCAGGGCTCCGGTGAGTTTTGGGGGAGATCATGTCTTGTTGGGATCCCTTCCATTTGTAAAACTTAGATATTAGATCAACATGTGATATCACCTTTTATCAGTCGTGAGTGAGAGATATTTTCTGATTAATGCATCATAATTGAAATGATGTCTGTATCCATGGTAACAGATGTCAATTCTATCTGAGATAACGCTGTAGGTTGTAACACTATTGTGAACGACGACTAATGATTGATCATTCTTCCATTCAGGTGTTCATCACAGTTTTGTCTGAAGACAGGAGTGAGGACTTCAACAGGTTGATGGAGGTAATTCTGTTGCCATAGTAAAATGGACGTTGATTCCGATTTCCTAGTCCTATGTCTTGATGAAACCTAAGAGTAGTCACAGAGAGATGGCGGTGGGGTAGCCTAGTGGTTAAAGCGTTAACTTCGTCATGCCGAAGAACCAGGTTCGATTCCCCACATGGGTGCAATGTGTGAAGCCCATTTCTGGTGTCCCCCGCCGTGATATTGCTGAGATATTGCTAAAAGCGGCCTAAAACTCACTCACTCAGGTAACTGGTTTGCAGTGAGTTTGAAGGGATCTCATTGGCTGTCTGCTATTTTAATGAGAGCCAGGATCTTCATCTTGAAACACTAGTAGTATCTGTGTATTTAATGCGTGTTGACACTGTCTTTGTATCTCGTGTGTTTTGACACTGTGTATCCCTCTGGTAACACTGTGTCACTCATGTGTCTTTGTGTTAACACTGTTTATCCAGCCTCATGTAAGAATGTCGAGTTTTGATTGGTTCACGTGACTCTGATAAAATACCATGTACACCCATCACAATCCGCGAGCAGGGAACTACAAAAGTTATATTATCCCGCCACGCCTCGGTGACCATGCGAAGTGAGAAAAGCGTGCATCTCCAAGCCTTTAGTAACGTGCGCTGCATTGAGGTCAATCGATCAGCTGTTGTCAACATGGCAGCAAGGAAACGTTTTGCCACAACAACTGAGAATTTTGTTTTGTTTTCTTTTGATTTAGTAAAAACATTCGGCTAGATAAATTCGTTATCACATCGTGTCTCGGGAAATATGGGGTTTTATTCCCTGTAAAACCTCTGTAATCCTTAATCAGTCCCTGATAAAAACCCTGTATTTCCCGAGACACGATGTGATAACTTATAGTGGCTTTCTTAGGCTTGACAACAGTCAGTCTGTGTATTGTTAACACTGTGAGTAGCTGTGATGTTCGTTAACACTGTGATACTTGCGTAGCAGGAACTACAAAGTCCATTCTGGCAGATGCATTTTATTGTATGAACAAAACCTATGGGTCATAACATGCTACAGTTGTTGTCTGACATGGTGTGTGCTGGGCTTTTGGAACAAAACGATGTCGTTTTCTTACTGGTCACCAGAAAAAAAGTTTGATGAAAGTGTTACCCATAGATAAGCCAACCCCTTTCTACAGGCTGCTTTTTGGGGTCTTCAAAATTCGGTTTATCTATGGTAATATACGATAGTTTTATAGAGAGCAGTCATGTGACTTGCCTCTGCAACATTTGCAGGGCCTGCGTGTGCCAAAGCCCAGGATGTACCTGTCAGACCACAAGTAAGGTGAGCTGTTTACACCTACATCAGAGCGAGTGCTGGAAAGTATGGTGCAGTGTTAGTGACAAACAGATGTTAGCCTTGTGACACTTGTTAACACTTTGTGTACCTGATGTGCACAGACACTAAGTGTCTCTGAAGTGTGTTGACACTGTCCATGTCTCTGTGTGCAGCTCTATGACAAGGCAGACATGCAAGAGGAGAAGATACGGATAGCACGAGCTCTTGGGGCAGTCAAGAAAGAAGAACTTATCAATCGTGTCCATGAATTTGCTGCCAGTGTAAGTTACAAAAAAACATACCATGATCATGTTTGACACATTGAGACCGTTTTCATGTAAAAAGAATTTCCTCCAAGATAATAAAGTTGTACCCTACCCTACCCTACCGACTTGCAGTAAAGAAAACAATAATAAAAGGCACATTCATTTGAGCACCACAATTCACTGTGCCGAATTGCCTCCCTTGTGTGTGTCTGAATCCTATGATGATGATGTCATGTGTTTTGGTGTGTCTTGCAACATCAATCATGTTCTCATTCTGAAATAAAGATAAGAGTGGTTCCAGCAGATTCAATATCAGCAATGTAATGTTAGCACTTGTTGTTTCTTTTGAATCATGGATAGCTTAACAGACATTGGAATCATCGTAAAGTGAAAGAGAGTGAGCTGCAATCGGATTAGTTAAAAGGATTTGTTGAAAAAGATTTGGCCCTGTCATCGAGTATTTGTTTGCAAATGATTTAGCCTCTTCAACTGACACTCAGGGCTGTGTACGATAGATATCACATGTTGGGACAGTGATATCAAATACTGGGATAAACAGGTAGATATCACATACTGGGGTAGAGGTATCAAATACTGGGATAGGGGTATCAATAATGGATAGAGGTATCAAATACAAGAATAGATGTATCATATAAAGAGAAAGGTATCAAATTCTGGGGTATAGGTATCAAATACTGGTAGGAGGTATCAAATACTGGGATACACAGGTAGGGATGACATAATCACATAATAGGGTATCAAATAATAAGATAGGGGTATCAAATGCTGGGATAGAGGTATGAAATAATAAGATAGGGGTATCAAATACTGGGATAGAGGTATGAAATACATAATAGATAGGGGATAGGAGTATCAAATACTGGGATAGGGGTATCAAATAATAAGGTATAGGGTATCAAATACTGGGATAGGGGTATCCATAGTGGGTAGAGGTATGAAATACTGGGATAGGGATATCAATAGAGGGTATGAAATAATATGATAGTGGTATGAAATACTGGGATAGAGGTATCACATACTGGGATATACTATCAAATAATAAGATACAAATACATAAATCACTAATTGGCATCGTTATAAATGAAACCCTGTCATTAAAACTACTCATTTCGATCTTCAATTAACTTAAATTGACCATTTTGACAACAGTGCACAATTCTCACCTGCGATCAGAGGGGCGTTTCTCTGTGACGTCATATGAGGAATAGATATGAGGGCCGATGCAGAATTCATGTACATTTCAGGGGGTAAATTATCTTGTTTACAGGTTTGTATAAACCTGAAATTGTGACAACTGTTGTGAAAAATGAAAGCTATATGTTCTCACAATCTACTGTCATTTAATTTGGTCTCCTGCTTTGCCTAGTTTCCGAGTTACAACTTGTTTTCATAGACGAATTCTGTCAAAATCGCTTGGTGTCACTAGGCCTTATTTATTCGAGCCAGACGCTAGTGACAGTGAAAACGATGATCAGCCTCGTGCGCTCATCACGGTTACGGTTAATTTCTTCAACCTAAACAGTGCGACATTAAGAAGGGTGGATGCCCATCAGATGCAGTTATTTGAAAATATCCCCGGTAGTTCTTGTCTGATTGTAACAAAGTATCAAAGCAGTGTGGGCTTTTTCAGGTTTTCTAATGCCTGGATGGTATAATGGCTGATCCAAATTGATCCCATTTCTGTGTTTTTTTTACCTCGATATTTAATCATGTCATGTAAAAATATGACGTCTATTACGTATGATATTAACATTTGATTTATTTGAATCCGTAAACTAAACAACCCTACTTTGCCATTGCTATAAGAATCTGAAAATTTACTTAGGTAAATAGGTACATACAGTTTTAGCACACAGCAAATGCTTATAATGTATTTCTTATGCAACAATTAAAGTTCTGTTGAATTCTCAAAACAGTGTCAGCCCATAAGTTTTCACATGCAATACAGCAATTAATATCCCTTGTTGTAACCAGCCATTAGGTGGTATAAAACCTACACATTATTATTTGTCATCATTCACTTGATGGTCAGTTAATGAATTTATAACAGGTATAATTAGTGGTAACACCACTTAGATTACCCGACAAAGGTTCCATTTGGCATTTCTTGTGTCTTGAGTAAATACTTAACATTATAAACGTCGATCAAAGGATTAACCAATAACACGCTGATTGATTAATTACTTTCATCTTGCACAGCGGATTTGTCAAAAGGAAGTGTTATGTATGTAGATTTACTAATCATCTATACTGAATACAATCTGTCGTGTCTGTGTCTGTGTAAAAACAACGTCCTTCTTTCAAAGGATTAACCGCCAATACATTGATTGATTGCTCATTATTGGCTAACTACATTACTTTTTTTTAAAGAATGGCGGACATTATGCAATAAGTTGCCAGGTGTGCTATCTTGGGTGACCAATGAGACTATACACCAATACGAAATACCTGAAATGATATGTCACTTTTTCGTATATTAGACTGTTAAAAGACACATCACTTGGAACAGCTGCAAATGAATGTCATATCACTCGTTTTTGTGGATATTGATGGATACATTCCTCGAACAAGGTTATAGCCTGACGCTGTTCCTATAACTTTAATCTGTTTTAATTTTAATATTTGCATTTTGTTTTTATTCATTGGTCATAGCATTCAACAGAATCATTGCTTTCGCCGTGAAGTGTAATGAGACAGACAACATACACTAGGGCCTGTGTGCGAATTATGATTCACATTGGCAAACTATAAAATGTCTAGATATTACAGTCCTGTTATAAATTCACTATAAGTATATCGTCTGCTTTTTATTTAGTTTCAAAATGCATACAAGTATGATAATAAACTAATTAGGATTATAAGACCAAATATAAAGACGTACATTGACTAGTATCTACATACAGGTGAGTGGACGTTAACCACGTGAATGTAGCAAGAAATTTATGGCGCAGTATTGTCACTTCGACCCCCACCTCGCTTCCGTGGAAGAAATCGTTATGTTATAAGTTGTGTCATGCAAAATCCTTTTGGTCATGATTCAAATACATATGTAACTACGAGTAGAAAGTAGTTTTGATTTTCTAACTTGATGAAAATAAACCATAATCGCATTAATTCTAACAGACTTTAGCCTGTGACTTTACGATTTTCAAAAATGGTGGCACCCTGTCGCGAACATCCGCCAGTCTGAGGATAAATGCTATTTAGGTTTGTTTTCACAGAGTTACAAAATCAAAACTACTTTCTACTGGTAGTAAATTACGTATTTGATTGATGGCCAATAGGATTTTGCATGACATAGCTTATAACATAACAACTTCTCTCTTGGAAGCGAGGTTTGGTGTCAATATAATACTATTTACAATATTATTGTTACTTCGACCACAACCTCGCTTCCGAGGAAGAAATCGTTATGTTACAAGTTGTGTCATGGAAAATCTTTATGGTCATCAATCATGTACATATTTTACTACAATTAGTAAGTAGTTTTGATTCTTTAACTTCCGTTAAGCGATCTGAACACAAGTAAGATATCGTTTCAGGCTTCCACAACGCTTGCTTCACACTCACAAACATAACCCATTTAGCACGAACTGCGTGGTCCTGTGGAAATCGGTGCATGGTGACACCATTGCCCGATCCCTAGGAGCAATTGACGACAACGCAACAATTGGCATGTCTTCGTTGATGTCGAGAAATCATCAAAATGACAAGCTTGCTACACACTTTCTATACAACTAACTGAAAATCCTTCCTCATATGACGTCACTGCAGTGCTCTGGCGACAGAGTTACGTAACCTGTCTGTGATTTTGTTGGCAGGCGAGAGTGAAGCAGGCGACTTTTGGGCAACTTTTAATCGCTCAGTATTAATTAACCACAAGTTTTTTAAGAATGAATCTGGTGTTCCGCATCAGACTAACCACAAATCTTTCATATGTAATGGTTAAAAGAGTACAAAAAAAGAAAGTTTATTTGTTCTTTAAGTACTGGGATAGGGGTTTTAATACTGAGATAGGGGTATCAAATAATAAGAGAGGGGTATCAATACTGGGATAGAGGTATCACATATTGTAGGAGTAATACTGGGATAGAGGTATCAAGTACTGGGATAGGGGTATCAGGTGCTGGGGTATACAGGTAGGTATCACATGCTGGGACATTGGTATCAAATACTGGGATAGAGGTATCAATACTGGGACATTGGTATCAAATACTGGGATAGGGGTATCAATACTGGCATCGGGGTATCACATTCTGTGATAATAGCATCAGATACAGGTAAGAGGATTGCAGTCACAATATGATAGACATGTCATCTTTTGTTAATTCCTTTATTTCAGGACAAGGTCCGTGCACAAGACAAAGTGTCTGTGCTTGCTGGGACCACTGGCTCAGCCAAGGGGAGAGAACTCACTTGGAACTTTGTGAAAGAGAATTGGAAAGACCTACGTGAAAAACATCATGGGCATCTGTTAACAAGGCTTGTCAAGGTAAGTGATGTTTCAAGCAGTGAATGTTATATCTAGAGGATAACAAATTCACGAAAGAACTTGTTAGGGTTATATTTAGGATTCACTGTACAAAGTTTGTGTCCCTTGGGCATGCTAGGAGCCATTGATTGTTGGTTTGAATCCTGGTTCATCCCGGTCAGGTTTCTAGGTTGGTCACCACCATACCTGTGTTTAGGTTTCAGCAGTGTTATACACCTGACACCTGTGTTATACACCTGACACCTGTGTTATACACCCGACACCAGTGTTTTATACCTAACACCTGTTATACACCTGACACCAGTGTTATACACCTGACACCTGTGTTATACACCTGACACCAGTGTTATACACCTGACACCTGTTATACACCTGACACCAGTGTTATACACCTGACACCAGTGTTATACACCTGACACCTGTTATACACCTGACACCTGTTATACACCTGACACCTGTGTTATCACCTGACACCTGTGTTATACACCTGACACCTGTGTTATACACCTGACACCAGTGTTATACACCTGACACCAGTGTTATACACCTGACACCTGTGTTATACACCTGACACCTGTTATACACCTGACACCTGTGTTATAACCTGACACCTGTTATACACCTGACACCTGTTATAACCTAACACCAGTGTTATAACCTGACACCTGTTATAACTTGACACCTGTGTTATACACCTGACACCAGTGTTATACACCTGACACCTGTGTTATACACCTGACACCAGTGTTATACACCTGACACCTGTTATACACCTGACACCAGTGTTATACACCTGACACCAGTGTTATAACCTGACACCTGTGTTATACACCTGACACCTGTTATACACCTGACACCAGTGTTATATATGTCTGACACCTGTTATACACTTGACACCAGTGTTATAACCTGACACCAGTGTTATACACCTGACACCAGTGTTATAACCTGACACCTGTGTTATACACCTGACACCTGTTATAACCTGACACCAGTGTTATACACCCGACACCAGTGTCATAACCCTGACACCTGTTATAACCTGACACCTGTTTTATAAGCTGACACCTGTGTTATACACCTGACACCTGTGTTATACACCTGACACCAGTGTTATACACCTGACACCAGTGTTATACACCTGACACCTGTTATACACCTGACACCAGTGTTATAACCTGACACCTGTTATACACCTGACACCAGTGTTATAACCTGACACCTGTGTTATAACCTGACACCTGCTATACACCACCTGTGTTATACACCTGACATCTGTGTTAAACACACCTGTTATACACCTGACACCTGTTATACACCTGACACCTGTGTTAATCACACCTGTGTTGACACCTGTGTTATACACCTGACACCAGTGTTATACACCTGACACCAGTGTTATACACCTGACACCTGTGTTATACACCTGACACCTGTTATACACCTAACACCTGTGTTTATACACCTGACACCTGTTATACACCTGACACCTGTGCTATACACCCTGACACCTGTGTTATACACCTGACACCAGTGTTATACACCTGACACCAGTGTTATACACCTGACACCAGTGTTATATACCTGACACCTGTGTTATACACCTGACACCAGTGTTATACACCTGACACCTGTGTTATACATCTGACACCAGTGTTATACACCTGACACCTGTTATACACCTGACACCTGGGTTATACACCTGACACCTGTGTTTTATACCTAACACCTGGGTTATACACCTGACACCAGTGTTATACACCTACCACCTGTGTTATACACCTGACACCTGTGTTATAACCTGACATCAGTGTTATACACCTGACACCTGTTATACATCTGACACCAGTGTTATACGCCTGACACCTGTGTTATACACCTGACACCAGTGTTATAACCTGACACCAGTGTTATAACCTGACACCTGTTATAACCTGACACCAGTGTTATACACCCGACACCAGTGTCATAACCTGACACCTGTTATACACCTGCTATACACCTAACACCTGTAGCTTTCTCCCACATTGAGACGGCACACAGTGATAGAACTGGAATACTGGTAAAAGCAGCATTAAACCCATGCCACTCACTCACAATGATTAGGATAGCTGTCATTTTCAGTGATCCCATTATATTTCTTTGTATGTTGATAAATGCCCTAAAGCCAATTGCTATCTTAGCTTTGTTTTGTAAGTGACCTCACCTTCTCCATCCATTTTATCTCTGACTGAGCACAGAATGTCTCTTGTTCATGAAATGACTGCTTTTTAATCTTGACATTCTGATCATTAGTATAACTTAGACAAAATATTTATTTAGAAGTCCAAAGATATAAAAGTAGAAGTGGAATGCTTATTGAGATTTGAGTCTCATCTGTCTCATTAATGACCTTTGAGTAGGGGTGGGTATTGCAGAGAATATTCATATTGCAATATATTGCGATGCAAAAGCATATATTGCGTTATGTATTGCAATATTTTGCTAGAAGTGTTTTTTAACAGAAACTACGTATAATTGAGTTAATGCTTGATTTTGATTTATAAAGCAAAAACACAACAAGATCACTATGCTTGATTAAGCTTTTATAGAAACTTTTAATCATGACAAAACAAAAATGTAAATAATATTTGGCACAAATGAAACAAGGAAACCAACAATTTAAAAAGACGGAAATATCCGAAGATTTCCAAGTGTTACAAAGTTTTCTGAATGCATGTCAAAATACCGTTTTTCGATCAGCATATCACAATACGTATCGTTTTCATGTCTGAACCGGTAAATACCGGTAAACCGGTTATATTGGCGCAGCCGTACCTTTGAGGGTCCAACTATGTAATATAACATTGTGTGAAGCTCATTTCTGGTGTCCCCCGCCGTGATATTGCTGGAATATTGCTAAAAGCGGCGTAAAACCAAATTCACTCACTCACTCACTTTATTATATACAATGTAATCTGTATTGTTGTTTTCTAGGCATCAACACACAACTTTGCTACTGAGGAGATGGCCAAGGAGGTTGAGGTAAGTCTCGAAATATCCTGATTATTTAATAGTTACAAAGATAGCTGCGTAGGTTCCAAATCTTATCAAGTGAAACGAACCATTCTGTGGTAAAGAATTTTACTTAAATAATGATGCATATTTTAAGTGTGCTTTTCAAGTAATATGCATTTTGGTTATGATGAAAGTCATAATTAAACTCATCATTGATTTTTTATAAAGTTTTTTATCATGTGGTTACACCCACCCTAGGGTCTTAAGTCCACTCATATACACCCACTTGTCTAGCACGGAATATATGTGGCTGTGTTTTCTTGTTTTCTTAACCTTGTTTATGTTCACTTTTGCATTGCAGGAATTCTTCAATGTCCTAACGTGGGTTGACCCAACCCCACAAAGGAAAACACATTAAGCAGTATTCATAATCACTTTTGAATTTTTTTTACATCTATTTTGATTTGCTAATGAAATCTCCCCACCCACCATGCATCAAGGGCAGCAGGGCAGCCCAGGGTACAATCGGTGAGCCCATATCCTGGCTCCTATCATAACACGCTGGACTATAGATGAAAGAATCACTCACTCACTCACTCACTCACTCACTCACCCACCCACCCAGACAAAGTTTGCCAGTCACTCACTCACTCAACTCAAACTCACTCACTCCCACTCACTCACTCACTCAAGATCTCACTCACCCACCCACCCAAGTTGTCGGCGGGAAATCAAATACACTTGATGTAATTTCTTCCAGGCCAACCCAACCCCAGCTGCAGAAAGGACAGTGCAGCAGTCGGTGGAGAATATCCGACTCAACACGCGGTGGATGAAAGAATCGGCAGACAAAGTTTGCCAGTTTCTAAAAAATAGAAATTAAGATCTCGAGAAATTGATAGTTTTGCAATTTGAGAGTTTCCTTGGACAAAACAAGGGTGTCAGGAATTTAAAAACATATTTTGTGGATATTATATTTTTCTTGGCACTTTTTTGTGAAGCGATTATTTTCCTAATACATGTGTATCTTTGTATTTTTATACTTACTTTGAGCGATTATGGTATCTTCAAATTTTCAAGTATTTTGTAATGTATAAGTTGTATCCAAACATTAATTTCACCTTGGAGATATGATTTAATTATTTTGGTGACAAACAATCCAGGAGGATATTGTCATATGGTGAAGTATACATTGATTGATAGAGTTATCTTCCCTTGGCTGACCTCCGACAACTTTATTATTCTGGTGCTCTTACTTCATTATTAGATGCATGTGTCCCATAGGATATGGTCACACCCCAATAAGAGTTGCCATGGCAATGTGCATGAATTGTGAAATCCATTCAGGTGAATTTGAAGACAAGGTCCACTGACACAGAATTGAGATGACGTTCCACTGACACAGAATTGAGATGACGTTCCACTGACGCAGAATTGGGATGACGTTCCACTGACACAACCTTGAGCACATGTTTTTCTGACACAACCTTGAGCACAAGTTCCCCTTATGCATCCTTAAGGTCAAGTTCCCCTGAATTGTTATAACTTATTCAAAGATTGAAATATTGTGACATTATGTTTTGTTTTATGAAATACTTCTTTATCTAATGGTTACAAACAGTTATACGGTTGATTGTTTTCATAATGCTATTTATATGACTAATTACAAATTTGACAACTGTTAAGTTTTCTTCCCCTTATGTTGTTGTATTTGTTGATTTTACATGTTTGTTAGTTTCCTTTTCATTCAGTGTCTTGAGGATATGCATTAGTTAGTAATATAAGGGCTGTGTTTCTGTAAGAGAGTTATGTCCCTTTGCCCAACAAGGATCCCCGTTCCTGATTCATCCTGATTATGAACTGTGCTTTGTCAGCATCTATTCTATTTGTGGCTGAAAAATCATCAAAAGCTCCAACAATCTAGTATTTGCATGACAGATTTAATGTCATTACAAACATATCTATCAGTATTAGGTCATACTGTCACAGTAACTCCTATATCCCATGGGCAAGATGAAATACTACTGAAAGAACTTTCTCTCTTCAGAGAGTACTCCACGATCCAGAGATCGATATTGTGAGCAACTATGCGCACTTTTGAGGACACTGGCACTCAATCAACCATATCATTGAGCCCCACCACCCAATCTGTTAAGTGAGTGGGGGGCGGTGGGGTAGTCTAGTGTTTAAAGAGTTGGCTCGTCACGCCGAAGACCCGGGTTCGAATCCCCACATGGGTACAATGTGTGAAGCCCATTTCTGGTGTCCCCCGCCGTGATATTGCTGGAATATTGCTAAAAGCGGCGGCGTAAAACCAAATTCACTCAGTCAGTCAGTTTAGTGAGTGAGGTTAGTTTTACGCAGGTGGCGGTCTATAAATATTTGAGTCTGGACCAGACAATCCAGTGATCAACAGCAGGAAAATCCTGCAAGCAGACTGATTACACACACATTACATACTTTCTGTGACCACCTACATTGTCTAGTTGACAGAACATCTGCTCTGACAGCACAAGTTTCAGAGGTATGGTTGATATCAGAGTCATCCCAAAAGACATTGAAGAGCCTACTTGATACCCTGTTTGATGCTGGGCATTTAGGAAGCAAAACAAGGAATGGTCGGCTTGGCTTCAGTATCTGTCTGGGTTGAAGGTCCATGGTAAACATCACTATGATTACTAATTGGTACAGCAATGTACATGCAGTAATCTTGAAAGAGAAGATAAATGTCATTTCACCCAACCTCCTTTGGAAAAGACCCATGGCGATACCGAGGTGATCAGAAATTCAAAGCGTGGTTAAGACCTGTCATAACTCTATGGTTTATCATAGGTTTACGAATGTTGTAGCACTACCAACGATATGTGGATCGGGATCCTTGTCATATACTACAAACAAAAAATATGGGAACACCCTTAAATTTGATAGTCATATATAAACTGAAATGTGGTGAGGTCATTTATACTCTAAGGTAAATGCAACTTTTTGTGTGCTTAATGGGCACTTTAAACGACATGTTGGAACATGCAGTGAAGCAACTGATTCAATATTCATTGAGTTTGAGTGAAATGAAACATTGTTAAAAACAGCGAAAAACAAGGATGCTGAAACACACCAGCACCATGTTTGATTCAAACGCCCAAACACAACAGCCTAGTGCATACGACTATCAAATTTTAGGGTGTTCCCATATTTTTTGTTTGTAGTATATGAGGTGATTGAAAGTATCTGATAGTCAGACTCCATTGCTTGATTGATTGCAAATCATCCCTCACAGGCACCAAGGATCAATGGTTTAACATCAATGGCTGACTTGTGTGGTCTAAATCATTTACAGACTACCAACATGTTGCTGAGTGGGGCAATCAGCAAATGACAACTACATAAGTATTTAGCAGTGTACATGAGTATGCTGTGTATGTTAACAGGAAGCCATATTCTGTTATGTATTGAGTTTCTTTCTATGCAATATCTCGTATCAGTTTCAGTCCCGTCTTTTCCACCATCTCCGATGAAGATTGTAGACATCCAATCAGTTGTATGACCTTAGTGCAAGGGAGATAACTACATCAACATTTTTATTGAATAATAGTAATCTTCAATCATTTTTAAATCTGTTTATTTTCAACTGAACATTACTAAATATGTTCTGTGGATTTTGCCATTTTTACATGACATACTGTTTTCTTGATACAAAGCAGTTGATACCATATTTGAAGCAAGACAACCACATATCTTTTTTGTCCCATCAAGCTGCTCAAATTGTTCTTGATCCCATCCTAGGTTATAACACATTCCCTACCATCAAGTTGAGTTGCCAACAATCAAATTGCAAGGCTGAAATTGAATGTGTTCATGTTTCTTATAATTCACAATGAAAATTATGAATGTGGCCAAAGCTACATTCTCCTAGGAGTAACAATTACCCGCGCCAGAACAAGTGATGAATAAATGGCTGATTTTCATTAAAGAAGTCCCAAAGTTATGTGTTTGTTCTAATGTTTAATTCTGATTCCGCCATACATGTGTAATACACCAGACTTCACGGTCTGGTTGTGGAGAACGCCTTCAGAAAGAGATTGCGCAGCTACTCCTTAAGACTCTTATGGCTGCAAGAGTTGTATGTTCCCCAGGGAGTTCAGATAGATAATACGACATGCTGTTGAGATTGACATCCAGTGATCGAGGAGAAAACAAAGCTGAGCTGGATATCGGCACTATACAAATGTTAGTATGCATGTATATATGAAAAGGGGTCGTGGGGTAGCTAATACAAATCACGCTGAACACCCGGGTTCGTATGCATGTATATGTGAAGCTTTTCCTGATATTCCTGGAATATTGCTAAAAGCGGCGTAAAACCAAACACGTAGATCATATAGGTTGTTGATCATTATATCAATCACTAGATATTCTGGTTCAGAATTGACAAAATACAGATCGCTGTCATATTGGTGCACTCGGCAGTTGTATGGCTGTGGTCTATGAATTATCGAGTTTGGCTCAGACAATCCAGTGATTGAGCATCGATCCACCAAACTTGAATATGACAACATGCATCAACCAAGTCGGCAATCCAATCACCCGCACGGTACAAAACAACCTTAGTGCTGAGACTACTTTAAATCTGTGTTACTGACTGACTGAGTTTGGTTTTACGCCGCTTTAAGCAATATTCCAGCAACATCACGGCGGGGGACACCAGAAATGGGCTTCACACATTGTACCCATGTGGGGATTCGAACTCGGGTCTTCGGCGTGACGAGCCAACGCTTTAACCACTAGGCTACCCCACCGCCCCTTAAATCTATGTTAAGATATGAGAGTTACGGTCACCTAAGGTAAGATCGCTTTGTACAATGGCACCCGGGCAACTATGTTTGAAACCAGAACCCGCACGGGGTTTGCTGTTATGATCCTGTGAGTCTTCTAATCAAACCGGGGTGTTTGGGTATCCTAGTGGTTAAAGCGTTCGCTCGTCACGCGGAAGACCCGGGTTCCATTCCCCACATGGGTACGTACAATGTGTAAAGCCCATTTCTGGTGTCCGCCGTGATATTGCTGGAATATTGCTAAAGGCAGCGTAAAACCGAACTCGCTCGCTCTAATCATACCATCAGAGTGAGTGAGTATGGCTGTACGCCGATTTTAGCAATATTCCAGCAATATCGCGACAGTCAAACCATGATGAGAAATCCACGATGTTCCACAACGTCGACTATTGACTATTACATCCACAGTAACGACCATCCTATCGACACATACCCAAGGCGGTAGTGTCTTTATGTCAATATCCATGTTTAGAGTGTAGTCAACACAGCAGTTCTGGTGATGTAAAGACTGTCCCAGCTGCTCACCCAGCGGAATCCGAGTGCTAGAATATGTTCTCAACACACACATCAATATCTGTAATGTCGTTACCAGACTTGAGAAGACCTAATTTACAGGTATGGATTGTACGTATGTCATAATCATTATGAAACCACTATGGATTAGATGCGGCTATGGACAGTTTCAAAGTTTGGTCCACGATGTCTTACCACTCCGCCAACGGCTGCACAACCACTTGGGGCGTCTTTAAACATAAGAAGACATCTTTACCTTTTGAAGTGTATGGTTTTGTCATCCTTTATACGGTTTTAGAAAGCTACAATGTAGGAATTCGTTCCATCTTTTCATGTTCTTTTCCACCAAATTGACGACCTGATCGATAATTTGGTCGAAAAATATTTGTGTGCACGTTTAACACCAGAAATACAAATATTCTCCAGATCTTTTCATATGTGTCTGAGTGTCGTTCTCTGTATTAGATCCATGGAAAGAAATTATTACACACTAGCTTGTCATGCTGGTCTCGTGAAATAAGTGATGTATTTCACCAGCAAGAGCGTTTCTTAAGATTTCGTGTAGTACATAGGCCGATCTGTGAAGATCCGGATTGGGATTGGTCTTCAGTAACCCATGCTTGTCGTAAGAGGCGCCTAACGGGATCGGGTGGTCAGGCTCACTGACTGGGTTGACACATGTCATCGTATCCCAATTGTGTTAATCGATGCTCATGGTGTTGATCACTGGATTGTCTGGTCCAGACTCGATTATTTACAGACCACCGCCGCATAACCAACGACATCAGGGGTCTACAGGCGTGCAAGTAGAGCGTTTTAACGTCGTTCCGAGGTGGAAGTGTAATGGTATGGGGTGGTATCACAACTCATGTCCGAACACAACTCGTCATTCTAAGTGACAATTTGAATAGCGTACGCTACCGGAACGTCTGCATAATATTGCTATGGAGCTATGGCCGGCCGTTTCACCAGAACTCTCCACATTGTGACATATTTGGGATGAATAAGTGCAGCGTTATACAACAAACCAACCAACATAGACCGCTGTTATATTGTCTGTATACTCTGCCCGATCATGTCAGTTGCCATGACACTATAGTAATGAAGTAGTAGTCCTTAACGCCTTTTGAGTATTTGACAAAATATACGTTTTAACCCCAGAAGGTGATATTTGACTGAGATTTAGGTGATTGTCAACATCTCTTTTGTTGGGTCTAACATTCTGCCAAACAAAACGTTTCTCCGCGAAAAGCTGCAAAACTGCTGACTCAATATTTACCCACTCACTAGTTTGAGTAGAAATAATAATAGTAATAAGTTGTAGCGAAGAAGTAAATCATTATAATTCTTTGAAGCATTGTTTAATATATGACGTCGACAATGATCGACTGTGACGTCATATCTTCTGACATATAATTACAAGTTACAACTAATGTAGGCCAGTAGAAACCTTACTGAACCTAGACATTTCTGATAACCGGCCAGATTTGTGTTTAACCTGACCAGAAGGGTGTTATTGGTCACCATAAGAAAATCAAGGTTGGGGAAATACATTTTTGTGCATGGTTTTGGGGGTGGGGTCTGTTGTCTTTTATTGGGGCTTGTAAAAATAAGAGTGTGTACGTGTTTAGCAGTATTCCAGCAATATCAAGGCGGGGGACACCAGAAATGGGCTTCACACATTGTACCCTAATGCGGAATCGAACCCGGGCCTTCAGCGTGACGAGCGGGCGCTTTAACCATTAGGCTACCCCACCGCCCCCGTAATACAATCAGTACATGTGTACTTGGTATGTGTAACACTAAAGTCAACCATGTTTCACTTATGTAAGTCCGAAGTCACGCTTACAACGTAAACCAAGATTTACGTACGTTTTATCGCAATCTGCAGTCCGACATGTAGCCATTTTGTCAGAAATGATGT